ACTGACTTGTGCCTCTCTTCAACTCTGCTGTGTTTCATCATTTAACCCCTTAAGGACCAAACTTCTGGAATAAAAGGGAATCATGACATGTCACACATGTCATGTGTCCTTAAGGGGTTAAAAACCTACATATCAATGGAAAATTGTCATAAACAATTTAGTGATTATAAATATAAATTGCATTTCCACAGGATGGTTCTGGCTCCCCCAAATGTGTTCAGTTATTTTGCTGCTCTGTAGTCAATTTTTGAAGTCTTTATTTTTTCCCTTTTTCATTTGAAGATATGTAAAAACGGTTATAAATTTAATGGAACAGTCCAAACATCAACATACACTATAGCTTGTGAAATGTGCGAGGAGAGTCCAGACACCCTCCCAGAGTCATTTCAGAAATAATTTTATAAATGTTAGCTAATTTTACTAGGGTACCATTGTGCACCCACAGCACTGCTTCCAGATTCTTCTTGCAGGAGGGAAACCTGACCATTGCAAATGTTGTACAACAACTTGTCCATAGGCAATGATTTGTCTAAGCACCTTTGTAACAGAAATAAATAAATGAGCACTATAGTTTGTGTACTTTAACACCATAATAAAACACTGACCCATCTGGGCACAAGCAAAAGTTAATTTGAAACCTGTGTTTTAGGTTTTTACCAGCACCAAAGAGTCCTAATCATAATACAGACATCAAAGATGTAGCATGCTTTTAATTTAGCTTATTTATTTAGATGCATTATATACTTTGGATTAACTTTGCACAAGTTTTGCCAATTTATAAATTTATTTAGTACCTTCATCTCTTCTAGCATTGGTGGTGGAACAAATTAAGTTTTTTTTGTGTGTGTTGTAAACAAAAGTTGTTTTTCCTTTTCTTTGTGATGGTTGTGGGGCAAGAGGGAACACAATGTGTATATGTACCCAAGAAGTCATCTTGTAGTGCTTGTCCATGTGGATTTTAAGGCTTTGCATTTTAGAATTTCTGTTATTTAAATCTATCAGTAGCCACACAATACTCAGAACCCAGTGCTAGTATCGGACCCTCAGCTTGGAATCCTGCAGCTTGTATTAAGTTAAGTGCTGCCATGCTATTAAAATTGCATAGGTTTTGTCTTCAATTAAACAGGGGTCAATAGTGAAATGCTATATGTTTCTCTTTCCAAATGAAATATTTAAATGTTCAGAGGTAGCAAGAACACAATTGTGCACCAAGAGAAACTGACTATATCCCACGTCAACAAGACTGGCTTTCAAGGAGCAAAAGTATAATAAATAAATTTTAAAAATTCTAGGAGCCACAAATGAAATCTAACAGGTTGGCAGACAGGAAATATATCAGTCAGAATCACCATTATCAAAGATTGGTGGAGTTAATTCGCAATATTAGAAATTATGGAGAGTTGAGAAGGGAATTGGCATAGTTCGGTCAAAATTGAAAACTGGAAAAATTCTCCAAATATATTTTTAATATAATAATCCTTCCATCAAGTATTGAAAGGAATAGATATTAAAAAAAAAAAAAGTAATTTTTTATTATTAAGTGGAAGTTTGTGTAGTGGGAATCTAAAGTTCAAACTTCTGTAATTATGAAGTATTTTATGTTTATGAGAAACTCATTTAATATGTGAGGATCATTCAACCATATAAATGTCCCTTTGGTCAAACTGTGTTTAAAAACAAACAGTGTCTATGGTCTTCATGCACAGAAGCAGGGAAAACGTAGACACTGTTGGTTTTCAAAACACTGCCCGACCAAAGTATCCTGTGACAACATAACTCAGTTGTCCTTTAACTTGTTGGCTCATTACAGCAGACTGGGAATTTTGAGACAGGTGAAAGTCCTTAAACTCTATGAAAATTATTTTGGGAGCTTGTTGTATTTTTGAAGCCTGGGTAAGTTTGAATTACCCATGCTTCTTTATGTGCATGAACAAGGAAGTTTGTAATGAGCAGAAAGGGCAGGATCAATAATTGCTACAGAAGCAAGAAGGCCTAACTCACCAAGAGCACCCATCTAAAAGGGAGACAATGTTTACATTGCAGGGTTAAGACAACCACTAGAGGTGCTTCCTTGATAGAGAGTTTAACGCTGTGAAAAGATCTTGGATGTCCTTACACTTCGCATGAGAATGTCAAGGGTCTTGAAAATCTCCATAGAAAAGCATGGAATCAATACTTTCCTATGGGTTTAAGTCGAATGTGCTCACCATACATACGCCTTAGGTCCCTTAAATACCGAGCCAGTGCAGAGGGACCTTGGTGCTGTAAATATGACCACAGGGAGGGGCATGGAGGCAGAGGGACACTATTGTGTTAGGAATAAAACATATCACTTAATTGCAAGTAAATACACTGATTAACCACAATAAATGAAAACCCCTGACAACTGAAGCAAAAAAATTAGTGACTGACAAATAGTGATTGCTAGACGATTGAATCAGAGAATCTTCAAAACAGCAAGTCTTGTGGGGTGTTCCCAGTAAGCATTGGTTAGTACTGAGCGAAGGCTAGCCAGCTGATCTGATCCCACCGAAGAGCTACTGCTAAAAACCTTACTCTGGCCATGGTAAAAAAGGTGTCAGAACACAGTGCATCGCAGTTTGTGGTGTATGGGGTTGAGTAGCCGGATGCCGGTCAACGTGTCCATGATGACCTCAGTCCACCACCAAGTGTGCCTTCAAAGGGAACGCCAGCATCAGAACTGGAGCATGGAACAATGGGAAAGAGGTTGCCTGGTCTGATCAATCAAGTGTTCCTTTAGATCAGGTGGGTGGTCAGTTGCGTGTGCATCTTTTAACTGGGGAAGAAATGGCAGCAAGATGCACTATGTGAAGAAGGCAGGCTGGCGGAGGCAATGTTATACTCTGCTGGTAACCCCTTAGTCTTGGCATTCATGAAGAAGTTACTTTGACATGTGCCAACTACCTAGGGACTGTTGCAGACCAAGTACATCTCTTCACGGCAATGGATGACAGTGTCCTCTTTCGTGATAATAAACCCTACTATACCGCAAAAATTGTTCAGGAACGGTTTGAAGAGTTTGAGTTGTTGCCTTGGCCTCCAAATCCCCCAGATCTCAATCTGATTGTGGGATGCGCTGGAACATCAAATCCGATCCATGGAGGCCCCACCGCGCAAATTGCAGGACTTAAAGAATCTGCTGCTAATGTATTGGTGCCAGAAACCACAGGACACGTTCAGAGGTCTTGTGACGTCCATATCTTGATGCATCAGAGCTGTTTTGGCACCACAAGGGTGACCTATATGATATTTGGCCAGTGGTATTAATGTTGTGACTGATCAGTGTATGTGGGAATCTTTTTCCTCATAGCTTTACAAATGAGATCATATGCAATGTATATTAGTTTATTAAGTTTGCTTTGGCACCTTACAATAGCTATATTACATACCTATAAGTTGTCCCCAACCTGAAATCTCACTATACTTGCCTTGAGAAATTAATGAGAAAAAAAAAATCTGCAGACCATGACCTGTCTTGGGGTTGGCTACAATTTAATTTCATTGTCGAAGGATAGTCTAATGTTTCGTCAACAAAGGATTGACCGCCCGTCAGAAACGTAATAAGCACTACAAAGGCCGAATATAGCGCTGCTGTACACCGGCTGAATGTTGCAATTGGTTTGAAGACACAATCAAATGACCGTAGTGGTGGTTGTCTGCACAATATTTCAGGAAAATGATGAAAACCATTTTAATGCAGCAGAGAAACCTTTGCTTGCTCACTGATTTTGTCCACTGAGTCGTTTTCTTAAAATAGACCTTGCAAACATCCAAATCTCTCGGGCTGTGTTCATTAGTATGATTCAAGCACTTAAAATCAAAGTGCTAATTGGAGGTCAGCAGAATACAGCTTGACATGAGTAAACAGACGTGCTTCGGCAGCCAAATATGTCTAATCACTAAAAGTGCAACCTAAAGAGAACAGGCCATTAGGGAGCGGTAACAGCAGTCAAGAGTTCTTCTGCCATATGTTGGACCACAAACAAAATGGATTGCTAGTTGGTAACATGCTGCTATCAAACCAGTACACATGAACGGTCAGTATTTAGGGATTAGCCAGTTCTGATGAGATTGAGAGTCTTGAGATGGATTGAGAGATTCTGCGTTTATAGAGAACAAAATAAGCAGCTGATTTTCATTATCTGTTACAGATTATAAAATAAATTGCTTTCCTGTTTGAAATCACACAGCTACCACAAATAGAAAGGAACCACAAGTTAATTTGTTGTCACAATTATGCTTGGTCATCTTACAAAATATTACTAGATTCTCTACCATTTAAAGGGTCATCTTGTAAGTATATTCAAATTTCGCCATTATCAAAATCAATGTTTTGCTTTATTTATTTTTAAAGGTACTACCCAGACACTAGTCACTCCAGCTTGCTGAAGTACTTTAAAGTGCCTGCAGTCTCATTTTTTTTAGTTGACATTTCTTTTGAGTAAGAACTTTTAAAGTTGGGTAAAGTAACACCTCCATTAATGTCTGAGTGAGGTTTGATTCTGAGTCTGTAAGCTCCACAGAGAAAACCGAATTGGCAGGTGTAACGGATCACCTGGCACCCCGACTGGGTACCTCCGTTGAAGGATGCTCCTAGCGCTTCCTGTGAACTCCAAGCACTGCAGCATATACGAATGCTCTCAAGCATATGAATGCTGTAAGCAGCTGAACAGGAAAAGCATACAATCATCTTACACTCCTGGCAATCAGCATACAATCCAATTCCCACAATAACGAGACAACAATTCGTTTTGAGGGTCAAGCAGAACTGACACATACAGCCTCTTTTATTCCCAATCCACAAACTTCGTACTGCCCACAGGGTTTTACAGAACAACCAATAACACACGTACATTACAGAAAACACTCCCAGCAATTATACACAAAATCCTCCCCTCTGCTTGTGATCTAATTATGGCACACAATGGGTTAACATAATTATCACAAGCAGGAAAAATACAGTGTCATAAAACACATCACAGGGATCCCAAAACACACAACCCCAAAATCATCGGAACTGGGGGATCTGGGTGAACCACATATCCAAAATTCACCCAGATCCGTTCAGTACTTTGGAAGATACAGTTTAATGCAGATTCCGCAGAACATATGCAGGCTATATGAAAAACAATTACTGTATAATGTGTCCCCTGTTGTATAGTCCAAAACCACTGCACGATGTCTCTGTGCACCAAATACTGGCGAGATTACACCGTGTTGAAAAGTCCAAACAGTGTATATGAGTTAAAATGGCCACCATCCATTGTTCTCACCATGTGCTTCATCCATTGTTCTCACCATGTGCCTCTGATACATGAAATGGTGGCCACCCAGTAACTCCACAGTATGTCCCCAGATGGTTCTTAAAGGGCCAGCAGCAGCACAACACAAATCCATTATGCCCAAATCATGTCTTTAAAGGGCAATACATCCCAGGGGCCATAGTCACATGGCAGGAGGCTGGCAGTCTTCTCCAATGCCCAGTGGCGAGGTCAGTTTCGCCACAGCAGGCGCACTGGGCTTGAGTGCAGATCAACAGGTCTGCAGCTATCGCAGCTGTTTCTTTCCCATAGAGAACTTGCAGAAAGAATATATGCATCATTTCTTTGGGGGAATATCTACTAAATAGTTTGAAAAAATTTCAATGGAGTGTTCATTTAAAATGTAAATTTTCAGGCGTAAACAGATTTGTTGAAATTATGGGCTTTACTTCCTGGTTGATATCAGAATGGTTAATATTACATTGACAGTTGGTTGTCTGCCATGCTATTAATGATTGAAGTTAGTAAATATGGAGTGAAAATGGGAAATATAGGGAAGAGTTTGTTATTTAATCTAATCAACATCCTGATTTTGGCTTAATAAGAGTAAGAGCTCTAAACCGGCAATATCGCCCCAACTTTTGGAACATGACCTTGACATCAGAGCACATTACAAAAGAAGAAACAGACAGACTTTGTTAAGAATTTTATTATGCAAAAAAATAAAACATGACTGACAATAGGTCCTCTCTGAACAATGCGTTTGACCATCATATCACAATAAGTATCTAACCCAGGGCTTTATCCTAGGCACCAGTTCACCACAGAGAAACAAAAATGTGATCAGGCTACCAAAAATCTGTCTTCCTCTCAGGCTGAAGAGATCATAAGATACCAGGTCATTATTGGTTTAATTATCTTAACTCCTCTTCCCCTGCGGTTCACTGCCATCAACAAAGAAGAGATAAAAGGGGTTTGCAGCACTGTCCATGGTCTTAGTAGACACTGCTCTCCCCTCTCCATCCTATGCAACATCCTGACTAAAAGTAGTTGCAAGAACTGATGACATAATACATGAATATAAACTTCAGTAAAGCAAGGGGAATAGGCAACCCTGACTGCCATCATGCCATGCAGAGATAACATACTATCTACTTCAGGGATAGAGATGTGAGCATTCCACCTGCTCTCCTTCCTCGCTGCCATTAAAAGTGTATGGAGTGGAATGGGGATAGAATAATTAGACCACAAAGTGTGTGTGTGTGTATATATATGAATGTACGTGTTTTGAGTTAATGCCTATATGACCATATATATATTTGTAAAATGCAAAGTCACGCATTTATGTTAGTGAGGACAGCGATTGTCTGTGTGTCAGTGATGAGATATGTGTGTATGACTGTGAGTGAGTGAAGAAAGTGTGTAAGGCTTGCTGGGCTTACAATGTTTTGCCATGGCTCTTAAATTCTAGCGAAAATTTTTAAGCCCCGATCCACGCATAATGTAAATAAAAAAACAAGTGACAAAAAGTCCCAAAATGTATAATTTATTGAATGTTCAGTAGTAGCCTGGGGCTTCTCGCGCTTCGGCACGGTCCTTAACCCTGGCTAAAAGATTTAAATGCTATACAATTTAGTAAAAGACCTATGAAACTTTGAAGTTTTACTGAAAACCGCTTAGCTTCAACAGTGAAGCATTTGAATTTTTCTCACAAATTAAATCCACACCTACAGAAAAAAAAGGTGCCTTATGGATTAGCATCACACAACAATTGCGCACATGTCATTTTTAGGTAGGAACACGTTTTTAGGAGTTGTACTCAATCTTCGGCATGTATCTTACACTTGCAACTTGAATATTATCTTGTATAAGATATACACTGCAATATGTTTAGTTAACCTTATTTAATCAAGAACATGCTATGGAAATGGCTTTCAACCGAAAGTTTTAAACCTTCTGAAAATAAAGTTTTACAGTTAAATCCTTTAATGTTACTAGTTGAAATTTGCTTGAATTTTATAATTTATAATCTACGGAATTATTTTGTTTATAAATGCAAATATTTAACACATAAAAATGGGGCACGGGGTGAATATTTTTTTTCTGCCAGATAACTGACCTACAACCAAAAAAGAAAAAAAAAAAAAAGAAAAGAAAAAAAATTATATATATATATTTTTAGAGCCAAAAAAAAAAAAAGTTATTAAAATATTTTACAATTAAGAAGAAAAACATTTGTATTTGTGGGAAGACCATAATCAGTGCTATAAAGCAAGTGAAAGTAGTAAGAAGCTCTCCAGGCTCCCTTTAATTGTTCAAGAAACAAAAACAAAGAAAAAAAATAGATTTTTTTTTAGCAATGAACCACAGTGTGTTATATTAACCGTTACTTTGTTATAGCTCACATTTGTGTAACAAATACAGATCAAACAGCATTATTCTTCTAATTCCCATACATATAAAACTACAAAAATTGTCAAAATTGGTATGATTTGTTTGTTAAATCAATTCAGTGCAAACGAATTGGAATCTTAGTGAAACAAAAAGGGAAAAGAACAGAGTGAAGGAAAAAAAAACTATGATAAAGATACAATGATAAGGACAAAAATTAACACTAAGATAGAAGTAAAAAAAATATTGAACCAAAAAAAAAAAAAAAAAAAAAAAAAAAAAAAAAAAAAAAAAAAAAAAAAAAAAAAAAAAAAAAAAAAAAAAGGTTTAAAGAAAAAAACAAAAAATAAATAAAATTAAAATAAATAAGACTGAAAAGGGACGGGGCAAAGAAAATGAGTAAATAAGCACTTAATCAGACTTACATGCCATAACACAAACTGTAATACACTCTGTGTCCATTCTGCTTAGTGCAACTTTACGAAGGACTTTATCAGTGAGATCCACAGCGGAGGCAAGAAGTCTGTGCAAATCATTAAAGGCAATAAATGCTGTGCACTGAAGATGAAATGTGACATTGAATTTTAATATGAATTTGATGTGAAAATATTTAAAATTCTCTGCCTAAATATGTATATATATTTCTTTTTAATAAACCTTTTAGCAGTTTAATGCTTTTTCAATCTGACTTGTGTGATTAATCTGTAAGGTACACTTGAAAACGTCATACAATGTAAACAGAATTGGTTATTTGGACCTAGATAGTAGAATGGCTGTACGCAACACGTGAAGGACACGTTACATATGACGGATTTTGTGCAGGTTGCTGCTCTGTGCATAGATGTCCAGATGCAAAAAAAAAAAAAAAACAGAAAAAAATAAAATAAAAAAACCTCCAGTCCTCAATATCTCATGGTGCTAGATGCCCGGAAGTAGGAGAGAAACTTGAAACACAGACTAACAACAAAGTACCAGATATTTCTTGCCATCTGTGACCTGGCTATGAACACACGCCAGATAAGAACTACAAGGATGGTATTGAATCCATAACGGATATTTCGTAATCTGTGGAGGAAAAAAAAACATTTGCATGTAATTAGCTTTCTAAGTTTTAAGACATATGGCACAAACATTGCAAAACACTACCTAGTCTAGGCTTCACTTTTTGGCAGTATGTTTTAGATCAAGCACAGTTCATTGGCTTATATCGTTCCTTCTACATCAATAAGGTCGTAGCTTATATTTGTCTGACCTTTTAAATTGAATCCCTCTATACATCAAACATATAAATTAACACTCTCCCTCCCCACCCTTACAACAACTTTATGTCAATGAGGTAGGAGTATCCGGGCAGTCATCTTACGTTCAGGCATTAAACCATTTTCCCCCCCAACTGTTAAACCCTGAAGTTGGTCGCCCGGTGTGTGACAGCCCTGCCATCTTTCTTCCTTCCTCCCAGCCTTCATCCACTCTAGCAATATTTACCTGGCTACCAGTGATGAGCTGAGAGCATCAGCTGCCACTCGAAGTCTATCACTGAGCACCTGTAGAGAGCAGTAGTACCAAGAATAAAACTTGGACCTAGAAGTGTATATCTAAACAACCCATGATCATTTTCACTGTCAGATAATAGAAGCAGCTGGATACCTATCTTGTTTAATTTTGCTTTAAACCGGTCTTACAAACACAATACTTTGCCGAATGAAGCAAAGGAAGCTTAGCAACCATACAGTCATGACTGAGTAGCTTTAAAACAAACTGCGTATTGACAGCATATTAAAGGCTTTGTAATTCAAAACCAGCAAGAAGTATCTGTAAAATATATCAACTCTGTGTGACAGTCTACTGTGAAGGAACCGCAAACATCAAATAAAGAGCCTTACAATGGAAAGCTTGCATTTCAGTAATGATCAATAAAGGCCACATTTTACATAAGCCAACTAAGAGCTTTAGTCTGTCTTTAGAGTGGCTATCCCAGTCAGGGCTATTTGCAGATCTTCCTTACTGGCCACCACACAGCCAGTAGAGCAGTAACAAACATGCAAGGGAAGGGAATTAGACCTACCTGACTACAAGTGCAGTCTGTGGAAGAAGCTATTCAGCGAGATAACCTTGTAACTATGGATAGTACTTGCCCGTTGATACAGAGTAACGGCTTGTATAGATTTAATTATGGAAAATCTGTGGACTATATCAGACCGTTTTCTTCTGATGCAAGCAGTCCATTATTTCATACTACGACCATTTAATGGGTTGTTAAATGGTTAAATAAACATTAAATACAGACCATTTGCTAAACCATGTACCTTTTGGTGACGGGTGACAGAAATCGGACTTACTTGTTTAAGTGTTTCCTGGCCGCAGGGAGACCGGACATTTCCTCATTTAGAACATATTTCTTGGTCCCCATGCAATAGTTTTCCATGTATTCTGCCCAATGGAGCTGTCTGACATCAAAGTTAAAGGCCTGCATAAAAATATTTTTTATTTAAACAGCTGTACTTTATCTTAATAAAGAAATCTCTACTATCAAATACACATCCATACATCCTATTAGGAATAGCTCCATAATATTTAAGCAAATAGACAACATTTATTTCTCATTTCTTACAGGATGTCCCTATCTGAAGCATTGCAGAAAGATGTGGGAGTATACACAAAAACAAACAAAACAAAACAAAAAAAACCAAAACACAAAAAGCAACAAGTCTCCTTCCTGCAGCTACTTATCTCAGATACAAAAACAACAAAAATTTCAACCAATCAGTACTCTCCTATACACACGTATGGGAGTAGGACTGAGCATGTATGTGATAGATACATTCTATAGCTGTCCCACAATAAATGCACTAATTTGAAATGTGCACGGACTTCAATGCAACCCCGACTGTGCATGAATACACAATACTAATCACACATGCCTTTAGCAGTATGTTTCTTGCTAAAAACAAAGAGGATGATGGTACTGTGCAGGTTTTAAACACAGATTGTTTTAAAGCAACAACTGGTCAACTTATATCATGCATATTCAGAGAGGTGAACCAGGTCCTCCGTGTCCCTTTAAATTGTTGCTTTTTTCTTTCTTTTTCTAAAACAGCAATGCAGTTGGAAGAGTGAGTACCTTTTTGTCTTCTATACTCAATTGGCTCATGAGCATGTTGGTGTTCTCGTTGTTCCACACCCAGGAGTTACTTGAAAAATATTCCAGAAGCATCATTGCTTTGTGAAGACGTGTGATAGTCTTCATCATCCTTGATCCAACAAGAAAATGGTTACTACATATTCAAAAATGCATCCCTGCAGTCACAAGCACCTTATAACAAACATGCACGCAGCTCATTTAGATTTACTTCCCTTCTCTCCAAGGGACTATATATTTGAGAGAATTAAATCCAACCTCAGCAAAATAAAAGTAAAGAAAGTTTGCTTGTAAGCAATCTGTTTGCAAACCGTGCAATATTCAATTTAATAACCATACGATAATGACTCAAGAAATTATAGTTGACTAACCGTGTACTGAACAGGACAGACACTTTTTTTTTTTTTTTTAAATGTTGATCTCTTTTCAGGGTATTAAAAAAACGATAAGGTTGATGTAATTAGGAAGCAGTAATAGCAGGTCATGTCCAGCACTCTGCAAGCTGGAGGATTATAGTAGCAAACTCATGATGCATAGTTGAATCAATAACACATTCTCACATGAATTCAAGTTTTACATCCCAGCTGAAAAACCATTTTCCCCCGAACTAAAAATATTACATGATAGATAATAAACTATAACAAAATACATATATTAAGACGGCCGACCAGAATTTTCTGTTTAATTTGTCAAATAAATGACAAAAAAAAAATCATGCATGTTACCTCTCTGTTCTGTTCTATCAAAAATATGTTTCCACTGTGCGAAGTGTTAAATGCCTTCCGGCGTGTGAAAATACAATTGATAATATAAACAAAAATAAGTGTCAAACGGTGGTCTCATCAAAAGTCAACATAACTCTCTTATTGTGCATTAACCCCTTAAGAACGGAGGGCATGCCATGCTGTCCCGCAGGAGGTGGGGTTATCAGCCTGGCAGCATAGCATGTCCTAACGTTTTAGCCCTTCCTGCGGTCCGCTTTCTTTCCCATACTGCAGATCACTATATGGGAGTCTGCATGGCAACCCAGGCAGACTCTGCAGCACGTGATTGCGGTGATAGCCAGTCACCATGATCACTGTTACAATGTCTCAGCTCCTCTCTTCTCCTCACTTTGATCTGATGCTAAAGAGGCAGATACACTAACTGCCTAAACTGTGCTAAAGGCTGTAAAAGTGTGAAAAGAAAGCGTTAGGAAAAAAAACATAATTTTTTAAAAACCATTTTAGTGCTGATCACCGCATAAACCCGGTGATCATTCTGACTAGTACCTTGGTACTATTAATGTTTTTAAACAGTTCAGTTGCCTGATTAGTGTACATGTACTGTATCAGTGATCAGAGGGCTCTCTCATCAAGCTGACCTTTTCTATGGAGTAAAATTATATTCTGTCTCTCCTGCTCCCACCCAATTTCATCCTAGACCCAGTGGCAGATCCAGAGCCTGATCTCAGGAGGGGCACTTGTAGATTATTTAAAGAAATAATCCATGCACAATAACCACTACAGCTCAGTGTAAGAGTAAGTAGTCAAGTAGTAAGTAGTCAAACCGTTGAAGAACTGTTTGACAACTGCTGGGATATGAGGCTGTAGTAGGGCATAGGAGCAGTGGTGTGTGTGGTGCAATGTGTGTGTAGTGTGTGAATGTGTAGGGTGTGTGGGGCAATTTGTGAATGTAACACACAAACCATAGGTGGAGCAAATAAAGGCAGAAAATATAACTAAAAGTATACTTCTCTCTTCTTACTTGCAGCTGTAAAGATCGAGAGATACAAAATAGTGCAGATAACCCAATACATCATAAGGAAAGATAATATAACTGAAACACACTCACAAGGATAGAGCCATATATAGAACCTGGCTCTGGTATGGATCTCCTTAAGATCTTTTAGGGTGATCCAATCCCCCTTGCTGGATGTTCTGAAGCAGTATTGGTGTTTCCTCCCAAGGATAGGCAGCAGGAATGGAAATGTATTCCAAAATAAATGTATTAATAAATACACAGATAAAATACTGTATAAAAAGTCCACAAATGTCCAATTATTGCCAAAACGCGTTTCGCCGAAAAGTCAACTGAGGAAGCCACTTTTCGGCGAAACGCGTTTTGGCAATAATTGGACATTTGTGGACTTTATACAGTATTTTATCTGTGTATTTATTAATAAATTTATTTTGGAATACATTTCCATTCCTGCTGCCTATCCTTGGGAGGAAACACCAACACTGCTTCAGAACATCCAGCAAGGGGGATTGGATCACCCTAAAAGATCCTAAGGAGATCCATATCAGACGGGCAGTGTGCGTGGGGGGGGCATGTGGCGGCAATGTGTGGGCAGTGTATGTGGGGCAATGTGTAAATCTGTGGTGAGGAGGGTAGGGAGGCCTTTTTAGAAAAAAAAAAATAAAAAAAAAAGTTTTTTAATAAAAATATATTTTACTGAGGAAGAAGGGGGGGGACATTTCTCAATCCCCGGTGGTGAATCCCTGGTGGTCCTAGTAGTGAGAGTGAACGCTAGCCTGCAGATCCAGGGCTAGAGTTCGCTCTCGCAAGATCCGGAGCGTTGTCGTGGTAGAGTAGGACACGGAGGAGCTGCTGGCTGAGCTCCCGGGTTCTCTCTCTCTCCCTCGCCGGCTGCCAGCACAGTGCCTGCGGACCGGGGAGGGAGATCTTTGATCCGTGAAGACACATTGCAGGGCTGGCGCTTGGACAGTGCCAGCCCTGCATTAGCCGGCAGGGGAGCGCTATATTAATAGCAATATTAAATCAACAGACATACACGACCTCTTCATCTCGAATTCCCTCACACTACTAGCACTCACTGAGACCTGGCTGTCCCCCTCTGATATCGCTACTCCAGCTTCTTTATGTTTCGGTGGACTACAGTTCTCCCACACTCAACTGTAGGCGGTGTAGGCATCCTTCTCTCCCGTCAATCTACCTTTCAACCTATCCTCCCTGCCCCATCCTATACTCATCCACACCACCCTGAACTCTCCAATCTCACAGAAACCTCCACAGCCTTGATCTCCAGCATTTCTCCACCAAACTCCAAAGTCTCCTTTTACCATCTCAAATCTCACTTGCCCTAACTAACTCCACTCTCTACCCTCATCCCACAGTGCCAGAAGAAAACTGGGTACCTCTAAACTTGTTTGCCCCAATTCACTCCTACACATGGCATCACAACAGGAGAGGTTTGTGAGCCAGTGAACAAGTTTAGCCTCTTTATGTCAAACGACAGAATTGAGCTGATGGTTGAGCAAACCAACTTGTTTGCCAGCCAGTACTTTTCTGCAAATCCAGGGTCACATTACAGCAGAAAAAAACATGATGTCGCAGAATTGAAAAGATGTAGGCCTCTAACCCTAATAATGGGTATTGTGGAAAAGACAAGTATCAGGTCCTACTGGCACAAGCACAGCATTCTGGCTACCAGTCTTTTCCCAGATGTTATGAAGATGGATCAATCTCCATGAGCAAATGCAGCAATTCATCCATTTTAACAATAGTACACTGTGTCCACCTAGAAACTACCCATTGTTAGATAGGCTTTACAAAATCCATTCACTTAACCAATTCCTGTCTGACAAATTTCCCCAAAATTATATCCCAGACCAAAACATTTGTATAGACAAATCCCTTATGAAATTTAAAGGTAGGCTGTTTTTCAAACAATATAGCTCATCGAAAGGGTCATGATATGGCATCACATTTTATAATCCACTACTAACTATACATGGGCGTTTCGGATTTATCAAGCGAAGGATAACCATCTTGACCCACCAGGATTCCCTTATTCTGTGGGTACAAAACATCCATCCCTTGTTAAAAACCCTAACAAGCGGCAGAAACAGTAGAGGCTCCTCTTCAGCTCTACGCTAGGATGAGGTGCTGGCAGTTCAGTTCACAGATACTAAAGATTTATACATGCTGTCTACAACGCATGGCAAAAGTACAGTGTCAGAGGAAGTACTGAGCAGCTAGAAAAAACAAAGTACATTGTAGACTACAGCAAGTATATGGAAAAGTAGACTCGGCTGGTCAATGTATCCAGTCTTATCTGATGAACTGAAAAAGTATGTCCTGTGTTAAGAAAGGTGCACCCCAGGCACCAAAACAACTTTATCTAAATTAAATAGGAAAGCATTGTATTGGCTAAAAATTGGCGGACCATGGACAGGCCCGCGGCACTGGAAATAAGGTGAGTTTTAACTGCTTCTGAGAGGGTTAAGGGGGAGCAAGCCACCTAAATGGTGGTTTGAACACTATAGGGTCAGGAATACATGTTTGAATTCCGAACCCAAGTGTTCCTTTATATTAAGCCTGGGTTGCCTACTTTTAACAATGATATGCTATCATGGAGGTAACTTTTTTTCCTGGGCTGCCATACTGCCTCAGAGGCACCATAGGCCTTTATTACACCAACACCCATCAGGATTATGAAATTGCCTGTGAAAATGGAGTGTGTGTCTGGGGAAAAAAAAAAAAAAAAGGATAACCACTATATGACATTGATAAAGAACTAGACCAAACATCTCACAATACGCCATTTGGAATACTCTGGGTTGCCTTCTTTTAAAAATGGTAAGTTATAATGAGGGAAATATTACTCAGGCTGCCATACACTCTCAAAGGTGACATAAAAAAATATTTCTTAATTTCTCACACTTTATTTTATTTATATTAAATTATATTCCATATATAAATATGATGTGAAATTTGATGCGACATTAAGGCCATATTTCTCCTGAACAGAATCATATATAATAAGTGTGGATACCCTAAAAATGAAGTTAAATTATGGTTGATCAAACAAACGTAGAATATATTTTGTTCTTTATGAATAGTTTAGATGTGACCATGCACGCACAGAGCTGAATCATTAAAGGACCACTATAGTGCCAGGAAAACATACTAGTTTTCCTGGCACTATAGTGCCCTGAGGTGGGTCCCCCTCCCGCCGGGCTCTAGGGGGGTCGAAGGGGTTAAACTTACCTCTTTCTCCAGCGCTGGGCGGGGGACTCTCCTCCTCCTCCTCCTCGGCTGAATGCGCATACGTATTCACAAGGCTTTCCTATGGACGCTGGCGTCTTCTCACTGTGATTTTCACAGTGAGAAGCACTTAAGTGCCTCTAGCGGCTGTCAATGAGACAGCCACTAGAGGCTGGATTAACTCCAATATAAACAGTTTCTCTGAAACTGCTATGTTTATAGAAAAAAGGGTTAATCCTATATGGACCTGGCACCCAGACCACTTCATTAAGCTGAAGTGGTCTGTGTGCCTATTGTGGCCCTTTAAGGGGTTAAATCATCCACTCAAGGGTTGAAGAAAAAAAAAAAAAAAAAACTTTTTCGCAAAAATGAAAACGTGAAAAGTCAGGGTTACTCACTGAACAGGGACCTGATTTAAAAAAAACAAAACTCAAGTAACAGTCCAAATACTGATTTACCACATTATTTCTGTGAAAGTGAATTGCAAGAAGTTCAAACGGAGACAGTCAATAGAGGCAGTCTTAAAGGGACAACTACAGCTTATTACCTTTGTTCTGGTGAGTAGAATCATTTCCTGCAGGCTTTTTGCTGTAAACACTGTATTTTCAAAGAAAATGCAGTGTTTACATTAGAGCCTCGTGATAACTTCACTGGTCACTCCTCGGATGACTGCTAGAGGTGCTTACTGGGGCAGTGCTGCGCAGTGTAACTGACATTCAGTGTCTCCCCCCTTCTGCATGCAGACACTGAACTTACCTCATAGAGATACATTGATTCAATGCATCTCTATAAGGAGATTCTGATTGGCCAGAGCTGTGTTTCGTTCTGCCCCGATCTGCCTCCTATGTTAAAGGATTCTGATGTCAGCCAAGCAGGCAGATCAGGGGCAGAACCAGTAGCTGCAGACTTGAACAAAAGTAAGATTTTACTGTATTCCTGACCCTATAGTGTTCCTTTAACCCTGCAAACAAACATTTTGTTTAGAAAAACTGCAATGTTTTACATTGCAGAGTTAAAGGGACAAAGATACTGCACTCAGATCATTTCTGTCACTTTAAGTGGAGAAAGAAAAATTAAATTTTAACCTAGACTTTACGTTCAACAAAGTGAAAACAAATAAAGATAAATACATGATTTAAAGATATTGTTACCTATATTTGCAAGCAGAATTTAAGGTCTGCAAAGGCATGCAGGATAAATTCAGCAAAAAGCACAATTCTGGGATCAGGAGGGCATAGCCACCACAGCCCCAAGGGCATAAGCCTGATGTATTTGGTTATATCAGCTCAAGTCTAATCGGATAAAGTTGTCAATGAGCCAATGTTTGGCAGGTGACTGTGTGCAGGTGGTAATTTGTTATTTATAGGTATGGGTGATCTGATTTATGTTCCATTCTTCTGCAGAATACAGATAATCGTTATTTCATACTGGGTTTGATAGTGGCAAGAAATTAAAGGAAAAGAAAAATTATAAATAATAAACTTTTGTTTTTATCCCTGAGGAAGAGCTTGCATGAATGCATACACATTCAAATCCAGCGACTCCAAAAAGCTCAAATAAAGTTAAAGGTATATTATGGATGTCTCTCCCCTTGAAATATTAAAGGGGAATTATGTGCAACAACAGAGTCTGGTGACCCACCTCAAATGCTGTATTATGACGACAGAGCTACTCAACCTCGTTCGTAGGCCTGCATTTGGCATCTACCCACCCAGATTTTTCGTACTCGTGATGTAATTGAAAATAGGTAAGAGGGACTTTTTTTTTGCTAAACAGCTAATTTGCTGGATTAACACTAATTTCAGATAACACTTTTTCCCTTTACTAAAAATATGGTTCTACAGTATTCATATTCCAAACTAGTGTAACACCAATAAAGAGAATTATTTTTAATTTTTCGGTACTAAACAGGACTTACAGCTAGAGAAAATAAAAATACATAAAAAAAAATAAAAAGAAATAAAAAGAAGAAAAAGAAATGACACCAAAGAAAACTTAATAACAGAGATGAAAGAAGGCAAGTATAATGTTTAGGTAGTAATAAAAGCACTGGGTTATGCAGCAGGGGTTAGCACTAAGTGGAGACATAAGTTAAAGTGGTCCAGCCCTCAAGGACAAGGTCAAACCAGGAACAGCGGGATTCAGCTCTGTGGTAAATATGGTCCAGTCTTTAAGCTACATTTTGTATAAAGCAGCGAGACAAAGGTCTACAAACCTCATGAGTCTGTGTCACTGTAGCAGACTATCAGGTCTGCATCTATGAAGCGGCTAGATTAGTTGCTTAAGCTTGCGATAATGTCTCGACTAAGAAAACAGATACCCATTTACTAATGATTCAATTACCTTACAGTGACCGAAACACAGTGAGCTTTAATGTAGTGAAAAGGAGAAAGAACAGTTTACAGCAAAGCACACTCAGACATGCAATTCACCAATGCTAGTTTTTAGATAAAATGGGGACAAAGGGTTTTAAAAAAAAATAATTTATATTATATATATATATAATGGTCCCAGAACATTTTTCCCTGAAAATAGTCTAGAAACATACAATCATTATTTGACTAACTCAATTAGCAGGTTATAGACAGGCTATATGAGACACACAGACAATTAGTAGAGAAAACATTTAGCAGATTAACACTGAATTATAGAACATATATCCAAAGTAGTCATATGTGGTACTGCAATTAACTGAAAAGCCTTTGTATAAAAAGCAACACAGCATCAGAAATGCGCCTGTACAAGCCAATGGCGTCTGCACTTATTTTGCAATGTTAGTGAAGGGGAAACTTAATTTTGGTGCTGTCACCATCAAGCAAACCATGCAAGTTTGATAAAGGCATTAAGGATGGTTTCTCTGAGAAACAGACACAATACACTTTTATTAGAATCTAGAGTATCACACTCTGCTCAAGCGACACAATCCTGCCGCAGCTTAAGAATGTATTAACATGCAATTCATTTACATTATAGGAGCCAATCACTATGAAAACTAATGGGCTGTTCCTGCTGAATGCTTGTGAACGGAAAACGGAATCAAACTAAAGGGAGAATATGAGGGATATTTTAAAGTATGGAAATTTGTTCCAAAAAAAAAAAAAAGTCTTGCAAAGTTCTAAAAAGGGTCACGTTTCATTGGTGACTGCCCACAATAGTGACTTTGCACTTTCAAACCACAACACTATTAGGGGTATTCAATAAAGTGGGAATAGCCAGGACTGATTTCAAATCCGAGGTGAAAACAGCCAAACGGGAAACTGTAAATTTCAGCCAGTAAAGCCAAATTAGAGAAATTCTTACTTTGAATTCCTAGCACTCCTCACTTTGGTAAATAACTCTGTATAGGTCACAAATATATTCTCCCATAAGTCTACTCCTTTCAAAATGAATACAAAAAACAAAGAGAAGGTGTTTAAGCTGGACAAGAACAGCTCTGATAGTGATTACGGGAGATGAGGAGACAGATACAAGCTTGCCGTGTTAGATTCTTGTTCTAGAACACAATAAGGGTGTATGCTGCACAACTTCACAAAATGCAGTAAGTGACATTCCCGACACCTTTAATGCTGAGAAAGCAGGCAGGCTTGACGGCAACGAGAACATTTCAAATATCAAAATATTGACTTCAATTTCTGTGTTGAAATGTTAATATAAAAGAAAAAAAAAAAAACGAGAGAAAACAAAAAAAGTGTCAAATATTGCACTGTAGTAATATGTACAATATTTTCCAAGAAAGGCATACAGTACAAAATAAAGAAAAAACACAAAATGTATTTAAATAGTAAGCATTGATATTCAAGCTGTTGTGGATTACAACTCTCAGATGCTCAGCCAACTGATACAGAAATCACAAAAGACGGAGTGCCAAAAATTAGTAATCATGGATTAGGAACTCAAACACTGCATTGTTTTATTCATCACCATCTTTGGTGATTTAAAAGTATGACTAATATAGGACCACAAAAGACTTGGTGGTTTTCTTTTTGTTTAGTTTTTTTATCTTAACATCAGTTTTGTCTGGAACACTCCAGGCAATGGCAGTGTCATCTGCTGAAAACAAATCCGTAAAGAGAGAATTATGGTGCAACGAGATATTTTACTTTTTTGTGCATGTGTAATAAAACCGTATTATTCACCTGGTTAAATAAAATTATTGCATCTTGTGAGTCAGTCCTTGCTTGGGGTCTGGTGTTGCAAGAATTTAAAAAAAAAAAAAATGTGCATACTAACATAACTATTCATCAAGCAATAAGTAATATACGTCAGTTGGTGGATATTACTAAAAGATGAGCAGCAATTTAGGAGAAGAAAAACAAATTGCACAATTATTGTGAAAAAATTTTTTAAAGTAGGTTGGCAGAACAAGGCAAAAAAAAAAAAAAAAAATAAGCTTTTGCAAATTACTTCTAGCAAACTAAGGGAAACAAACTGCATTGCAAATAGATTTTTTTCACAGAAGCCGTCATGTATGAGATAAGAGTTATTAGAATCTAGCAAATAATATTAGTTATAACAGACTAAAAGGCCATATATTTATTATTATTTTTATTTTTTTTAACAAATAGTTACATACACCCACAGAGTATTACAATACTGTCATCCTAACCTCATATCTCCTTTCTGGGGGGGGAGGAGGGGGGGGAGGCATGTCAGACTAATTGTTCATCAGGTGCTTGACAGAATGCATGCAGACTTAGAACAAACTGTGCCAGGTATTCTTGACAAACCTGTACATACTTGCCACTATGGACTGCTAAAATCAGGGTTCAGGAGCCATGCCCTTTGAGGGGTGGAAGTCCCCAATAAACCCCCTCCTTGTTATTTATTGATAAAATATTTTACCAGGAAAGATACATTGAGATTTCTCTTGTTTTCAAGTATGTCCTGGGTGTTAGTCAACACCAGGAAAGAGGTCTAGTTTGACAGTTGATCCGTTCTACCACTACAAGGTAACAAATGTTAAGGTAATCAAACATTCTCATCCTGGCATATTGTGGTTAGACAAAATAAACAAATAAGGTCCATTGCTAACCTTCAATGACAAGCTGGAAGTGGAAAGAAAAACGAAAAACAAACAAAAAAACTTTCACTCTGTCAACCAGACATTCAGGTTAAGGGAGGTGGGAGTGCTCCGGAAGGTACAACTGGTGTTCTGGGCACAGTGTGCTTACAACCATTTTAGGGTCCCAAAACAGGGACTGATGAAAATCAGGGTTTTAAGGACCTAATCGCAGCTAAATCTAAAGGCCACTACTCCATACTAATTCTTCATGACCTCTCTGCTGCCTTTGACACCGCTGATAATGCTCTCCTTCTTCAAACTCTTCAATCACTGTCTCTTGTGACTCTGGTTTTCCTCTCATCTCTCCCAACGCTCATTCAGTATCTCCTTTTCTAATGATACCGCCTCTGCTCGTCCTGTCTCGGTTGGAGTCCCTCAAGGCTCTGTCCTTGGTCCCCTTCTATTTTCTCTTTATACTGCCTCTATTGGCAAACTTATTACCTCTTTTGGATTCCACTACCACCTGTACGCTGATGAGAGATATATATCTCTCATCAGCGTACAGGTGGTAGTGGAATCCAAAAGATATCCTCCCCAGACCTCTCCCCTGCTGCCCTGCAACATGTCACTGCTTGCCTTTCTTCCATTTCTGACTGGATGTCCTCCCGCTTTCTGAAACTCAATCTCTCTAAAATGGAGATCCTAGTCTTTCCTCCTCTTTCGCTCTCCCTTCAAGTTAGTGGTATCCACATAAGTCCATCCTTGCAAGCGCGCGGTCTTGGCGTCATTTGATTCTGGACTCCCCTTTGAGCCTCACATACAGCATGTTGCCGAATCCGGTAGATTCCATCTTAAAAACACAGCCCGCATCCACCCCTTTCTTACGCAAGATGGTACCAATGAGCTTATCCATGCTCTAGTAATTTCCTGCATGGATTATTGTAACCCTCTCCTAATTGGTCTTCCCAAAAGCCGTATTGCACCACTACAGTCTGTAATGCATGCTGCCGCCAGACAGATTTTCCTCTCTTGTCAATCCTCTAACAGCTCACCCCTCTGTTAGTCCTTACATTGGCTTCCTGTATCCTATAGGAGTGAATTCAAGGTACTAATTCACACCTATAACGCACTGAACAATTCTAGCCCCTCATCTCTCCATAGATCCATAGATCCATAAGAATGCCCCTTCGTCTCTTCGCTCTGCCCGTGACCTTCTCCTGTCCGCTGCTCGCACCCGTAGACCAACTCACGCTTGAGGGCTTCTCGCGCTCTGCTCCCTTTCTATGGAATAACCTGCCTACCGCCATCAGACTTTACCCTAGTCTTCAATCGTTTAAGAAGTGCCTTAAAACCCATCTCTTTAGGAAAGCTTATGACCTCCCAGAGTAACCTCTACCTCACATACCTGTCTCTTGCTCTCTCCTAAAGGGCAGCACTCTATGCTCTCCTCCAGCTCTGCTTCACTCCCACTTTATTTGATTGCCATTTCCTGTCCTAATGTATTTTATAACCCACCTCCTATAGACTGTAAGCTTGTTTAAGCAGCGCCCTCTTCAACCTATCGTTCCTATAAGATTTCTTGTAATTGTCCTATTTATAGTTAAATCCCCTCCTCATAATATTGTAAAGCGCTACAGAATCTGTTGGCGCTATATAAATGGCAATAATGATAATAATAACTGGGATTTTGGTAGCACTTGAGCTTCAGAGAATTCCCCATACATGTGGCTGCAGGATCAAGGTTATCTTAATTTTGGCTGAAACGCTGAGAAGTTATAATCTGACAACCTTGTTTCCTCTGGTCCAATGAAATTCTGACAAAACCATAATTTACTATTGTTAATATTCATTTGACTTTTTAGAGCAAGCCAGCTTGTGAGCAGACTGAAACATGTGGGGATATTGTACAGCAATGCAGAATTTTTTTGGTGCCATGTAAATAATAATGATATGAAGGAATTACCTTGGTAAAGCATGACTATTTCCTCCAAGGCAGAATAACATGCATTGCCTTTTCACTTTTTATTATTTTATTACTTATAGAAAAAAAAAAAAAAAAAAAGTGACAGGAGCAGTTTATAGGGATGCTGATAGATAAGAGGGGGCACATAGGCAGAGAGGTTGCTAGATATTCAGAGAGAAATATAGCCCAATATATAGCAATACAGCTAGATAATAAACACTACTTCAATGTCTTGGAATTAAACACACTTGTCTCAGACATGACAGGTCCTCTAAACATAGTTGCAAGCATGACAGAGAAGATCTAATTAACATTGGTCATTAAAATCATAATAAATATCGTGAGTGCGTATGTATATATACACCCACACAGTATAATGGATAGAAAGCTAAAGAAATTAACTAAATAAAATTAAAAAAAAAAAAAAACTTGGGACGGGAAGAATTTACTATTTTGCCATTGAGCCTGTGTCCTCTCAGCAAGCCTTCACCAGGTTAACTGCACCTCCTAGTGTTTAGTGCAACCTCCTTACCAGGGCTTCTGACCTGTCAACCTTAGAATAGCATCAAACAACACTGCAGGCACTATATGACTGACAGCCGTCCAGTAATAGTGTATAAGGGGGTTGTTTTGCAGATTAACATTGGGGCGCCTGAGAGCCTGTTCTAAAGGATTCATCTTGAAGGACACATTTACATAATATTCTGTAGAAAAAATAAGGTTCAGATCCAATGAGAAAAAAAAAAACCTTAATGTTTGGCCACAATAGTATAACAGTACATACATAAAACATATGCGTAGAATGGGTGTGTAGAAGGCTGGAAAATTATCACAGCTGGAGAAGCTACATTTTGGCCAATCTTGGCATATGCCTTATTCTAGTTTAAACACAGGGAAAGAGTGTACTACTCAAAAAGGAAAAAACAATTCTGCTGTCTCATTTTTAAGAACCGATGACAATCTATGACATCATAACAATCGATTCTTATAGGCTCATGTTATTTTCTACTCATTGAACAATAGCTGGTTTGTTTAAACCTTCCAGTTCTAAAAAATGAGGACAGTCCATGCTAGCAGAATGCCTTGAGGAACTAGAGTGAGGTGGAAAAGAATGACACTGATCCTAGTTTTTCTAAATATTTGACACTTTAATTTAATATAGGTAATATCACTAACTTGATTCAAGCTGCCACTTGCAACTTCCTTTAAACCTTTATTTGCCCAAAGCAATGCACAGGTATGTGACACAATTAAGCCTACAAACTCAGTGACATTGCAGAACTTAACCTAAAATGTACTGCGTAAATGAAGATTGCTGTAACGGCTCAGACGCAAGTCGTGAAATTACAGGGATAGGTTTACTCAGAGAATAGGATCAGAGGTTTTTCATTTTTAGGTGATACACTCTCTTTATTTCATAGGCTGTCTACAGGCTGAAATAGCATTCAATGGCCCAACCATAACTAGTGTAGTATGTACATTTTACATTTGACTTGAGGTCAAATTTAGCATTACTAAAAAAAAAAAAAACACAAAAAAAAACAGACAAGGGAGGGAACTTATTGACAGCACTAAACAGGAGCTACTCAGAAATAATGCACATGAAGTGCTGTTTGGGGGGGTTGGGGGGGGCAATACTAAAACTACTAAATTGATATATGTACATAAAAAACTATTTAAATTATATTGAATTTGTGGAACTATGAAAACAATTTAAGTTTGCAAAATGAATGTCAAAACAGCCTGTAAAGTTACTATAATGCCCCCTTAAGTCCAAACAGTACTGTATCGGCAAATGACCACATGCTTAATGGCGGCAGCATACATTAATTTGCAAGATTCACTGTCATTTAGCTTCTTGACATTTAAGAGGAACAGAAAAGACAGAGCTAGTTGCCATTACCTTGGGCTTCTTCCAGTAATCCTGAGGTAGATATCGTACAGGAGTGCTGGGGCCTTATGGCTTACAGCAATCCAATATTGATATAAAAGGTGATTGGAGGTTAGATTTACATTGGGCCGTCTGAAGGCCTGTTCGAGAGGATTCCTCTTGAAAGTGGAAATTACATGGTATTCTGAGAAAGAAAAGTTGTGCAACAAGCTTTGACAATAGCCATGTAATGAATGGCAATAAATGTCACATATGTCTGAAATGAGTTAACTCTAGATACATCACAGCCTTCCATCTAGACTGGCTCAGCCTGCCTGGGGGTAAACTGTCCTCAAGATAAATTTAGCATGACATGTCCTGTAAGGGTTCTGCTTTATAACAAATCCAGATGGTAGCTTTTCTTTTTCTGTTCCTCTTTCGAGAGAATTGAAACATTACCATCTAAAAGATGATATGCAACCTCAATAAATTCGTATATAAATTAGGTTTATGTTCAATGACTTAGAGCTACATCCCATCCAACTGTTTGATGCAGTAGGTTAGGATTCACGTTCAATTAGCAGAGGATTACATTTTGAATTTAAGTTTTGGAACACTGGTTTAAGTGCTAGAAAATAAACATTACACTGAAATAGGCAAGTGTCATCTTTGTACTAGACTAGTAATTTGTCAAGTTCACAATGGCTTTAACCAAGCATGATTGTGTCATTCCAACCCAGGGATGATTGTCATCGCAATAACAAAATATACTTGTCACAAAAAAAAAAAAAAGAGAAAAGAAAATGTTAAAACAAATTAGGGGGAAAAAAATAACTAAAAACAAAAATCAAAGGATTCAATATCCTTTTTGATCATATATATTTTATAAAATATCCTGGCAATATCTTCAGCACATGTGTAGAACATATGTTGGGGATTTTTTAAACTGCATATATGGCACGCCCAGAAATGAAGATTTAAAGGAACACTATAGCGTTAGGAATACAAAACTGTATTAGTAACGCTATTGTGTCCCTCTGTAATTAACTATAGGTTTGCTATAACCTCCCCCAGTGTTGAAAGAGTTAATGGCCTTTTCTTTCACTTACCTCTTTAGTTATAGTCCTTCTCCGACGTCACGGCAATGGTGGTACCTAAAGTGCATGCATGGCAATGGCCACGTGCACTAGGCCTTCCCCATAGGAGAGTAAAGGATCATTGATTTCCCAGAGGGTTTTGAAGACACTTGATGTCTTTGAGAAAAGTGTTAAGACATCTGTCAGTTTAACTTCGTGAGGCACTAGGAAGCGAATTAGTTGCTGTCTGTAAGATAGCGACTAATGGTGGAGTTAAAGGACCACAATAGTGTCAGGAAAACAAACATTTTCCTGGCACTATATAGGCCTTAGGTACCCCCAAACCCTCAGGGTCCCCCTCCCGCTGGGCTGAAGGGGTTAAAACCCCTTCAGCCACTTACCTTTATCCAGTGCTAGGCTCCCTCTGCAAAGGTGACCTCTCCTCCCTCTCTGACGCCAGCTCCCGAGTGGAGCCGAATGTGCATGCGCGGCCAGAGCCGCACGCGCCTTCAAACCGCCAATAGGAAAGTATTACTCAATGCTTTCCTGTGGACGTTCTGCATGCTTAAATCGATTTTCGCATTGAGCGTCGGGGAAGCGAGTCTAGCGGCTGTCAGGAAGGCAGCCACTAGAGGCTGGATTAAACCTGCAATGTAAACATATAAGTTTCTCTGAAACTGCTATGTTTACAGCTGCAGGGTTAAAACCTGGGGGACCTGGCACCCAGACTACTTCATTGAGCTGAAGTGGTCTGGGTGATTATAGTGGTCCTTTAACCCTGCAATGTAATTAATTTTCTTTGATTTTTTAAATATTTTATTTATTACATTTTATTCATACACAACAATTTAACAAGTTGCAGCAAACCGTGATTACAACATATGTGAATCAGCGTGATTACAGTAGAGTGGTACTGTTCCCTTGAAACAATAGGTGAAAGGTAAGTTCACGGTATCAGAGCCACTTAAAGCATTCAACAATGCCACCTCCAAGAAATTGTGGGATGCGGTGCTCATTTTGGGCATGAAGACACAAAATTTTGAGTATTTATTATTTTACAGCTATGACTAATTAAATCAGATTTAATGTAAATGGATACATTTGCCTAACAGAATGTACAGATGGAAATGTAGCTGAACATATCCCACAACCATGGGATGCATTCCTGAAGGAACGTATGCATGGTACATCATCTCCTGCATTTGGCAAGTGGCCTTCACTGGATTAAAAAAAAAAAAAAAATTAAAAAATTTAACGGTTACCCAAGCTGATCGGGATTGCTTTATATTAGCAAGAAACAAGTTAAGTTTGGAGTTAAATATATTTAATTACAAAATTAGTTTTACGCGTATATTTGAATGTACTAAGAAGTGGTGTGAATCCCTGTCTGGAATGACCTTTTTGTGACAAGTTCATGTTAAGGCTAAAATCATCCCTGGAAGTTGGAAAACAAATTAAGTCAGAATATGCAGCACTGGGGTAAATTAAAATTTGCCAACTGCTTTAGCAAAAGCTTAATTCTAAATTAACTAAACTTAAAACATATTTTACGTGCATTGTGCATTTGTGGCCATAAGCTCCTCATATGTGCTCCAACACCCAGCAGTGGGATATCAATCAGGACTAGCAAATTAACTGCAATGACTTAAGAAGGCTTATTCTGATAACAAAACTGCTAGATTCTAAAAGATTCCATAGATTAAAGCTGTATTTGACAAATGCATACCAACTTCACCCCAATGAAAAGGATTTGTTCCGCCTGTCGTGCAGTTGTAGACTATGATATTTTTAGGTCTGCGGGAAAAAAAATATATACATATCAAAAAAAGTATTTTTCCAGCTGTGAATGTTATAACAGCAGCACAACACATAGATTAAGCAGCGTCACCTGCTATACCTATTAACTCCAGAATACCAGGCAGCTGCTAATGTTGTGTTGACAACAACATCTACTGGGATAAGATCTGCAACAGCGTTGTTAGATGCCCTCATTGTGCGCAGGATGCCCTTTCCTGCCTGAAAAATAAAAATAAACAAAGCAACACCGATTGAAAATCCATTATAAGAGGTCACAATAGAAAAAAAAGTCTAAGTAGCAATCCATTACTGGAGACACATAGCGGAGATAATTTTAATAACCAAAGCAAAATGTCATAAAATATTCATAATTTGTGTCTTTTTACTGGATGTAAAAATTGCAGTGTAATGTTGGTAGTTGTGTAGATCTTATTTTTATGTACGCAACAACTGCCAAGTGTTGAAAATCTGTGGCTGCTTTGGAGCAATGATTGGGGATGAAAATAAGAGCTAAAATGCAAACACCTCTACTCCTCAGGCTTCTCTTCTTTAGCCTCTTTACAAAGCATGTATACATAGAAAAATAATTTCTGCTTATCTCTAAAAAGTCATAATCAGTGTTATGCGGTTACTAAATATCACAGAACATGCCAGGCTATGCGATTTGAAAACTGCCTGCCCACTGTGTTTTGGGGGGCTAATTCCACACTTCTTTCTTCGGTATTCTGCAACCGCCATGTGTTTTCTTGAGAACCAAATGTGGTTGAAAGGTATCTATTAAATTAAAAAGGAGTCCTAAAAATACCAAGGCACTATGCGTTTCATCTGTTAGCATATACAAACTTCCTCTGGGACAGCAAGGATAAAAGAACTACATTTTAAAAAAAATATATAGATTACCACTCACCCTGGTGACTGTTTTAAATAGTCCACTTATTTTTGGTGTGATGTAGCGGTTCCTCCCCTCTGCTCTCCTATCATTGTGAGCGCATTATGTTCTTCCAGTTCTCTTTCTTATTCCAGGTATCCAACGTAGTGCGTTCCACTTGTGAAAGATATCGGCTATGTTGCCAACATTTACATACATGTATCAGTTGATGTTGGCAACATAGATTGTAAAGGCATTGATAGTTTGTTACAATATCTTTTTTCTCTAGGTATATTACCTACCACAAGTGAGAATGGACAGATGGAACGCACTACATCAGATACTTGGAATTAGAAATCAGATCAGCTGGAAGAAAGTAATGCACTCGTAATGATTGGAGTGCAGAGGGGAGTAACAGCTACTTCATACCAATGAAAAAGAAGAAGGCAGACTAATATTAACGTGAGAGGGAATGTATGTTTTGTGAATAACCCCCTTCTGTCACTTACCTGAGTCCAGCGCCAATGCACTCTGCCAACAGGGGAGACCTAATGCACAATGGCTGCGCTCGATTAGGATTTCCCAATAGGAAAGCATTATTGAATGCTTTCCTATGGGGATTCCGGTAACGCTGGAAGTCCTCATTCAAAGCGTGAGAACGTCTAGTGTCGTTTAAGTTACCAAAAGTCGCCTATGCACCCACTGGAGGAAGGGTTAACCCTATCAGCTATTATTGCAAGTGCAGACCTTTTGGCTTCATTGATATATTTGGGAGTCCAGGCCAACTCCTTGGTTTTGCACCCCTCCCTGTCACAGGGACCTCATTCCAGGATCCTATTTAGCCTTGACGTGCAGAGAGTCCCAGTAAGGAAGAATTTCCCAAGTAAGTGGATTAATCTCATAAGAGCAAGCATTAGGCTGCTAGAGTAGAACCTGCCAAGAATGGGGTACATTGCCGTTGTCGCAGGCTTATGCAATATATGATCACATAATGTAACTAAACCTCCCATTATTTTTTGCCTAGGTGAGGGGTTTTTAAATAAAACTATTACCATCTCTAAGATTTGAAATCATTTATTTATTGTAATTTTTTTTCTTCTTTTTTTTTTTACAGAGAATTCTGGAAGACATGTGTAACAGGACGGTATCTTGTTTTTGTTTCTAGTTTGTATGCTAGCTGAGCTTACCTTAATTTAAAATGGCAAAATGAGGGTTAAGGTTTTTGTTTGTACAGGCTGTAATTGACTACCCCTCCAATGAATTGCAGGAACAATGCATACAAATGTAAAAATAATTCCTTTCTATTTGTATTGCATCATAAAACAGATGGGAAGGATTGTACGCTCATGTGTAAATATGATTTACATGTAATGTGCATATGTATGTTACCGGTCTTCTGAAAGAATGAATAAGGAGGAGGAGGATGAAAACAAAAACATTATGGGACAGAGGTGATTTTTTTTTTTTTATTGTTGTTGTATTTGAAAAAAGGGTCAGCCAGTGCGTTAATGTGTGCATTCAGGATTCTGCACAGATGAAAATTTTAAGAAATTGACCACGAATGCTAGTGGTTTATGTAAAATGTTTCGCCCCCAAGTGCCACCAAACAGATACACCCTTCATAGGCAATTTACTAGATGAAATATAAATAATTATATACATATACAATATGGCAAGAAGGCCTCTAAATCACTGTTTGTATATTTAAATTAAAAAAAACTAAAACACACACAAAAAACACAGGTGTTTGGTCGTAGTAGTTTGGGGCTGGATTATCCTAATCTAGGGTTAGTCAAAAGACTGCTTGAGGACTTTGCCTTTAACCCCTTAAGGACACATGACATGTGACATGTCATGATTCCCTTTTATTCCAGAAGTTTGGTCCTTAAGGGGTTAAAGAACCACTGGCTGGCAAAGGTTTATGGCTGTGTGGTCATACACCAGAAAACACACCTCTCACTACATTTGACCTGAACCCTGTGAAATATTTTTATAATAGAATTCCTTTTTATCTTGTCCCAGATATAGCTATTAAGGATGATTAATAGGATATTAAGGATTTATAGATCATACACCCTTCAGGCAATTAGATCAAAATAAAAGGGCATGTACATGAGTACTAAAGCAACAATACAAGCAAATCCTGGCATGACATTTCCAGAGGATTAAATACAAGCACTCACAATGGATACAACGTCTTATTACTTACAGCAATGAAGAGACCACTTGGACCATTGAAATTATCAATCCAGCCCTGTGTAAAAGAAATAGAAAAATAAGCCAACTTCCACCAGTCCAGGTTCCCTTAAAGAAGTCATAACATGTTGCGGTCTTTAAAGTTAAATCATGTTTGTCAATATCAGTTACCTACTAAGACCTTTTCAGTATTTTAGTGCAAATATGAAGAGTGATTGATCATAAGTGGCATAGAATAAAGTTCATGGAAAGAATGTAATACAGCGGTTATTATTGATGCTGTCAAAGAAGGGACAGACAACAGTATTTCATAAGTTAATCATTGCTATGGAAGACTGTGTTTAATACTTCGTATCATTCTAAATGCAGATAATGTAAAGGGTAGAGTGCGTGTTCTTACCGGGAATGGTTCTTTCCAGCTTGCGCCAACAATGGATGGTCTAACGATGGCTATGTTCAGCTTACTGCCTTCTTGCTGGACTATATACTCAGCCAGTGCCTTTGTGTAGGTGTAAGTGTTCGGTCGGTCACCTATAAGTTTTGGAGTGATGTCATTGACAAGGCTATCGTCCATCCATCTATGAAAGAAATTATATTACAGTTATACATTGTGTTAGTGATAAGAACCAGAGCTAGCAATCCTTAAATTCAATACTGAGAAGGTTTGGTGGTTGGTCACCTGCAGACACCACGGTGTCTTCGAACTTTGGAAACCTCATGAGTTTTGTAAATAGCACATATTATAGTATGATGAATGGTTGCTTTCAGGATTAAATGTGAAAATAATTTGACATTAAAGTGATTTTAAAATTTAAGGGCAAAGCACTCAAACCGAAAAAAAAACAGTGCAAGTCAGCTATGCTTCTAGTTCATGGCTTTGAGTTTGCAACTCAATTTGAATTCTTGACAATTCTCACTTTAGTAAATAACCCTGACAAACATGCTTTAACAGTGTGTTTTACAAAAAAAAAAACACATTTACACACCACCCTCCACTCAAAGGATAAAACAAAAACAAACAGTTAACAGTGTCTTGGAAAATAAGAGCCAGTCAACAAGGCATATCAGTGAAGAACATGTACGTGGATTAAATGATACCTTAAAGGACCACTATAGTGCAAGGGAAACAGACTCGTTTTCCTGGCTCTATAGGGTCCTTGGGTCCCCCTCCCGCCGTGCTCTTGGGTGAGGAAGGGGTTAAAATCATACCTTTTTCCAGCGCCGGGCTCCCTCAGCGCTGGGGACTCTCCTCCCTCTTCTGCTGTCATCAGCTGAATGCGCATGCGTGGCAAGAGCCGCGCGCGCAGCCAGTCTCACTCTCAATGCTTTCCTATGGACGCTGGCGTCTTCTCACTGTGAAAATCACAGTGAGAAGCGCCTCTAGCGGCTGTCAATGAGACAGCCACTAGAGCAGGGGTAGGCAACCTACGGCACTAGTGCCATGCACGGCACTCAAGGCTGCTAGAGCCAAACGCACTCTGGCCTATCAGGAGTCCTAGTAAAACTTCAGATATCTGCGAAGAGGTGGTGAAGGACAATCCTCAATTTTTGCATTGCAGCACATAGAGGAAGTGATCTCAGATCACTTCCGCCCAGCACTTGTGAATGGGAATCCACACTGTAGTAGAGCAGCCCTCGACAGCTATCGAAGCTCCTGTCCTTGACCTGTACCTGGCCAGCCTGGTCCCCACTGGAACCCACCCACACTGCTAGATATACACAGAAATGTAGAATAACCCTACCCACATACAAATATGAACAGCCCCCCCCCCCCCCCCCCACACACACACACACACAATCCCCACAAACAATATACATAGATGCACACAACCCCACATGCAGCCTTTCACATGCAATACCCCAAACAGCCCACACACACTACCATCACACAATGTGACATATCCATCCACACACAATTCCACAAGCAGCCCTCATACACAGCCCACATTCATATGTATCATACACAATACCATAAACTACTAATGAACATATACAATATAATAGCTCATATACGCACAAATACAACGATACAAAGCAATTACAGTAAAAATAACAAGCAGATTACTGCAGCATACACACCTCAATTTAAAAAAAAATAGGATCGGCACGCTACGGGACAACACAATCCTATATCGGCACAGTGCTGCTAAAAGGTTGCCTACCCCTGCACTAGAGGCTTGATTAACACTAATGTAAACATAGCAGTTTCTATGAAAATGCTATGTTTACAGCAGAAAGGGTTAATCCTGGATGGTCCTGGCACCCAGACCACTTAATTAAGCTGCAAGATTTCCATGGATGTATATCATAAGTTACCATATAAATTACGTGTCAGATATCCACTGCGAAATATATACATAAAAAAATGCACAAAAACATAGTTAACAATGGAAAATATTGCTCAACTCAATGACACAATTTATATGGCAATTTATTATACATGTTCTTGCAATTGCTAGTCTAAAAGAACAGGCTTAACTTTTGATGTTGCTCTCTTGCATCAGTACTGGAAGTTTCCTTGAACTCTTACCTAGTATAATAAATCGTGCCATTTCTTGACAATTTATTTAAGTGTCAATTTAAAAAATAGTCACTTCATAACTGAAGGGAAAACTAAATAAAGGGTTCTCTTAGAGGGTATATTTACTAATATTAAAAAATAAAGAGTGTTCCTTAAGCTGTAATCACTACATCTGAAATCATGGACATTACTGAAAGCCACCATACAGAACAGACAGAAAATATGGCAAAGGATGAGCTTACTCAAGCGATTCAATGAGTTTCTTGGGATCAACTGGGGGTGGATAGACAATTTCTTCAATGTGTTTCCTGTTGCAGTTTGCGTAGGCAGTGGATACGTGAATGAAGACTTCCAGTTTTTTAATTCGCTGGGCCAGATGAAGCATTTGTTGTGTCGCAATGACATTTAATTGCATGGCATCTCTGCGAGAGATAATACACAATGTAACTAACTGAATACAATGCAGAAAGAAAGACATTGTTAACCATGGAAAAAAAAAAAAAAGTAGGTCTCAGTTCTGATTAAACTAAAAACCTACACATTAAATAAAGAGGGGGGAAACCCACATGAAATACACAGTACACAACAGTGTCTAAAAACAAAGCAAAAAAAAAAAAAAAAACCTACTGAAACATCAACTGCAGGTCTGTCATAAAGGAAATTAAACCCCATGGTGGATTTTACCACACCTCTTGAATATGTTGGATAATGCTTTATCTAATAAAGATAAAGGTATTTTGTTGCAGGTTTGCCCCAGTGCTTTGAATTTAACTCCTGTGGCAACCATTTCACATAGCAAATATATCACACACATTGCCAGGTTAAGAGTGCCACATTCTTTAGCAAAGTCTTGACTTCCTACCTGGGGTCCACGCTCCACAGTTCTTTGTGTAACTCTCCTAGGCTAATCCCTGTAATGCAGGGCCAGCTCATTAGCAGGGAGCAGCCGGTTTTCACGCTCAACCAACGAGCTAAGCCCAGCACTGCCAGGCTTGACTTAAAGAGAACTCCCAGCAGAGAGAAAGTGGGTAGCAGAGCCTGGCACAACCCAGAATGTTATTAAATGTTTGACTCTTGCAACAGGATCACTACAGCACACTTTAGTGGTTATGGTGCGTCAAGTGTTCTTTTAAACTAATAAAATTAATTATGTTCCAAGGACTCAAAAACCCTTTTAGTTTTAGTATGCAAACACAATTAATGTGACTGAACTGAGAAATCAGTTAATAAAGTCAGTGTAATTGCAGATACCATTTTGGGATATTTATCAGAGAGTTCATTAGTTTGATCATAGTGTTATAAAAGTGACTGATTTCTTTATAACAAATTCCAATAATTTTTAACAGCATTTCCATTTCAGACCACCAAATTTAGAGTGGCAGGAAAAAGAAAAAAATACAACCTTTTTGGTCAGAAAAAAGGGTAAAAAATAAAATTATCACAAACATGATGGTTATGGGGTTAGGGTACAAAACAGCAACAGAAAAAAATATGACAGATGTAATACATTGCACCAAGAATTTGCGCGCAAGCACACAAGAAAAAAAGCAAACGATTAGTGACATTTTGAAATATATCCAATGTATTTACATGAAGTCTAGAAAACTGAACATACCTAAGAGATTCATTGAACCGGACTGTAGCTGCACAGTGGAAAACAATCTCTATAGTCTCTGTTAACGTTTCCTGGTCTTGCTTGCTTAGATCTAGCTCTGGTTGTGTGAGTTCACTGCTTATTGCAATAACTTTCTTGGCACAGTCTGGCTGCTCCTCTCTCAGCCGGTCAAACAACTATAGGAAGTTAAAAGGAAGAAAATAAAGATAATTGTTATTGTAGAATGTCCTAGTAGGCCTCACAATTTCAAATCCTATCCTACAGCCATTGCTAAAGGTTGCCAGTCACTGCAAAACTTCTACTACATTAACTTTCATTTTACATTTAATAAAAGTTACTGGACTAGTTTGTTGTTCTTTACTTTGCTGTGATAATATTTCCCAGCTTTTCAAGTGTTCCTGAAAACCTACATTTATAAAAAGGATTAAAGTGGGCTTGTCTTTCTTTTTGGTTATCCTTATCCCCAATGTATGAACAGCTAAGGAAAGAATTCTCCCCACCCTGCCTTTCTCGTTCTCAACCTCACATACAGTCATGGTCCATAAATATTGGGACATCAACACAATTCTAATATTTTTGGCTTCATACACCAACACAATGGATTTGAAATTAAATGAACAAGAGGTGCTTTAACTGCAGACTTTCAGCTTTAATTTGAGGGTATTTACATCCAAATCAGGTGAACTGTGTAGGAATTACAACAGTTTGTATATGTGCCTCCCACTTTTAAAGGACCAAAAGTAATGGGACAGATTAACCGTCATAAATCAAACTTTCACTTTCTATACTTGGTTGCAAATCTTTTGCAGACAATTACAGCCTGAAGTCTGGAACGCATAGACATCACCCGATGCTGGGTTTCATCCCTGGTGATGCTCTGCCAGGCCTTTACTGCAATGGTCTTCAGTTCCTGCTTGCTCATGGGGCATTTTCCCTTCAGTTTTGTCTTCATCAAGTGAAATGCATGCTCAAATCGGATTCAGGTCACATGATTGACTTGGCCATTGCATAACATTCCACTTCTTTCCCTTAAAAAAAAAACGCTTTGGTTGCTTTTGCACGATGCTTCGGGTCATTGTCCATCTGCACTGTGAAGCGCCATCCAATGAGTTCTGAAGCATTTGGCTGAATATGAGCAGATAATATTGCCCAAAACACTTCAGAATTTATCCTGCTGCTTTTGTCAGCAGTCACATCAATATATACAAGATAACCAGTTCCATTGGCAGCCATACATGCCCATGCCATGACACTACCACCACGCTTCACTGATGAGGTGGTAAGCTTTGGATCATGAGCAGTTCCTTTCCTTCTCCATACTCTTCTCTTCCCATCACTCTGGTACAAGTTGATCTTGGTCTCCTCTGTCCATGGGATGTTGTTCCAGAACTGTGAAGGCTTTATTAGATGTTGTTTGGCAAACTCTAATCTGGCCTTCCTGTTTGAGGCTCACCAATGTTTTTTTTTTGTAAATCTTTTATTTGGGGCTTAAAATTGCACGGGTACAGAATGTAGAGAGGGAGATGATAAAAATGCATACATGTAGGGATCGTTACAGCTCAGCATATATCACCTCAGATAATCGTCTGCCTCATTTTAGATATTTAGTAGATAGGTTAATGGCAAATACGTAACTGCATGGTAATAACATAAAACAAAACTTGGTCATATCTGTAGCCTGGCATGGAGACTAGGCAGTGTAGATGAGACACCCGGTTTCCTATCATGAATATGTTAGTGCGAGGTTAACCAATATTCAGTGCACAGTTATGTTGCTGCCTTGAGGTCTGCGTGTGTTTTACAGGGGTCTCTAGAGATGTAGCTGGATGATGGTCAAGCTTGTCCTAGTCTGTGGCCCGACCTCACTCTATGAGTAGCCTAAGCATTTAATGATACGTACAGAAAGCCGTGATAGGTAACGGTGTCACCTGTTTTCTCTGCTAACATGCATCTGCGACTCACAAACCAAAAAAGTCTCCCATCTCTGTGCTGAATTGGGTGAAACATACTAGGTCAATACATTATAAACATAACAGGCCGGGCTATAGTGGCTTACTGAACATGCTTTAAAGAGAGATAAAGGTCTGCCTATAACTATAATACAGTATTATGTAAGCAGTGCTGAGGCAGTGTTTATAACAGTATATGTGATACAAAAACCAGTTAAATAAGACTCATGCGTGGAGTTTCACGGTGTCACTTAAACTCAGCCAATCCGTTAGGTGCATTTGAGTATATTAAGCTTATTCACATAGGCTAAACCTAACTATATAGTACTGCATTGGGAGATTACTCAACCTGCTCTTAGCTTAAGGCAAGTGTGAGGGATGAAACCGGTGAGGAGTTTAGCGGTTTAGTGTGATTGAACCCACTGGTGGGCTGCATAAGGGTCTAGTAAGCAATGTCCTGGTGTGAGTTGCTAGTGGAGTTGCTGGTCATGTTGAGAATCACGTTGGGTAACCCACCAATCTTCCGGAGCCAGTCTAGAGAACTCTATTCAAGAAGACACCAAAGTTAACGTGGCTGCTCGGTGGGGGCTCAATTAAGTGTATCCGTACGGACATTTCAAGCGGTGTCCCAGAGAGTTCTTGACCGTGGGCGGTATGAAGTGGGGCTGCGGGCCAACGAGCCATCCATCAGCTGATACCTCTGCTTGGGAGGTCGGTACCCTGAACTGGACAAGTTAGCAAGAGGTTGGTGAGCACTCCAGCCCTAGGCCGGTATGAAGGCCAGCACCTGCGATCTACAGACTGTCTCGTCGCTGAGGCCTGGTCTACCCTCTGATGGGTGCCATGGAGAGCTCGGGTGTTTTGCCGTCGCGTGCAACGGTAGGGCTTCAGGCGGTGTGGTCGGTGCCGTGGAGGTTTCCTCCGGGAGGCCTTCGGCCCAGGAAGGATTGTGGAGCGGGCTGCGACAGTAGCTCTGTGGGGTTTGCCCGATGGAGGTCTTTCCCAGCTCCGCACCTCGTCCCTCCTTACTGTTCCCACCGGGTCAGGCTGTTCCCGCCCGCAGCGTTGCTCCAAACGCTCCCAGAACCTTTGATAGATCCTGTCTAGTCGCTCAGCATACTGCTCCTCTAGGTGATTGCTTTGGCTGCTATGATGGGCTAGCTTCTGCCACTGAGCCGTGGACACCATCTTGTGTGGCCTACTGGCAGTGTTGTTCAGGCTGCAGGATATAGCCGGGGCCTGTGATGTCTTTTGCCCTGGGTTGGTGGGGACCGGGATGACCCCCGCTGGTCCATGGGGGGGGGGGGGGGGGACAGGGACCCAAGCAGAAGTTGTAGCTTAGTGTGGCCCCAGGAGAGCGGCCGTCTCCCCCACAGCCCAGTTGTTGGTCTCGGTGCATAGTAGGCCGCACTGCTAGGCCCCGGTTTCTGCGGTTGTAACTTCAAGATTTGTGTACCGTTAGGTGCCGCTTCGACTGCAGATTAGCCCCCTCGGTCTGATATGCCGTTTCAAGCGCGGTAGGTTGTCGTTAGGGTTTAGATTATGCCAGCTGACACCGGAGCGTTTAGCATGTGCGTCCGTCCAATGGTTTACATCTTGTGGTGAACCCTCTGTATTCACATCTGGAGAGTGTTCTTGATCTGGCCAACTGTTGTGAATGGTGTTTTCTTCACCAGGGAAAGAATTCTTCGGTCATCCACCACAGTTGTATTCCGTGGTCTTCCAGGTCTTTTGGTGTTGCTGAGCTCACCGGTGCGTTTTTTCTTTTTAAGGATGTTCCAAACAGTTGATTTGGCCACACCTAATGTTTTTGCTACCTCTCTGATGGGTTTGTTTTGTTTTTTCATCCTAACCCTGGCTTGCTTCACTGATAGTGACAGCTCTTTGGATCTCATATTGAGAGTTGACCGCAACAGATTCCAAATGCAAATAGCACACTTGAAATGAACTCTGGACCTTTCATCTGCTCCTTGTAAATGGGATAATGAGGGAATAACACACACCTGGCCATGGAACAGCTGAGCAGCCAATTGTCCCATTACTTTTGGTCCCTTGAAAAGTGGGAGGCACATATACAAACTGTTGTAATTCCTACACAGTTCACCTGATTTGGATGTAAAAACCCTCAAATTAAAGCTGAAAGTCTGCAGTTAAAGCACATCTTGTTCATTTAATTTCAAATCCATTGAGGTGGTGTATAGAGCCAAAAACATTAGAATTGTGTTGATGTCCCAATATTTATGGACTCGACTGTAGATCATGCATTTCCTACCCTTCAGACTTTCTCCCCGGCTACTGAACAAGAGGTGGCTGCGCTTCTCCTTTCCTCTCGCCCCACCACTTGCCCATCTCAGCTTATCAGATCTCTCTCCCCTTGTCTTGTGCCTTCCTTAGCACACATCTTCAACTGCTTTCTCTCTTCTGGCATTGTTCCTGCTGACCTTAAACATGCTACTGTAGTACCTACCCTGAAAAAAAGATTAAAAAATCCCTCGACCTGTCCTCCCCCTCTAACTATCGTTCCATATGCCTACTCCCTTTTTACCTTTAAAGCTTCTGGAAAGACTTGTCTTTACTCGTATGTCTCACTTCCTCAATTCCAACTCTCTCCTTGACCCTCTTCAATCTGGCTTCCGCCCATTCCACTCGGAGACTGCTCTTATCAAAGTTACTAATGTCCTAAATCCAAAAGCCACTACGCCATACTAATACTTCTTGACCTCTCTGCTGCCTTTGACACCGTTGACCATGCTCTCCTTCAAAATCTTCAAATCACTTGTTCTCTGTCTCTCCCAACGCTCATTCAGTGTCTCCTTTTCTAATGATACCTCCTCCATTCATACTGTCTCGGTTGGAGTTCAAAGGCTCTGTCCTTGGTCCCCTTCTATTTTCTCTTTATATTGCCTCTCTTGGCAAACTTATTGCCTCATTTGGATTCCAATACCACCTCTACGCTTATGACACCCAGCTATATCTCTCCTCTTGTCGCTCTCCCTTCAACTGAGTGGTACCCACATCAGTCCATCATTGCAAGCATGCTGTCTTGGTGTCATTTGATTCTAGTCTCACCTTTGAGCCTCATATCCAGACTGTTACCAAACCCTGCAGATTCCATCGTAAAAACATAGCCCGCATCCGCCACCCTTCAAATGAAGATGGTACCAAAGAGCTTGTCCATGCTCTAGTAATTTCCTGCATGGATTGTCAGTCCTTACATTGGCATCCTGTTTCCTATAGGAGTCAATTCAAAGTGCTAACCCATACCTATAAAGCACTGAACAATTCTAGCCCCTCATCTCTTCACAGATCCATAGGTATGCCCCTTCTCGGTATCTCCGCTTTGCCCGTGACCTTCTCCTGTCCGCTGCTCGCACCCGTACAGCCAACTCACGCTTGCAGATCTTCTCGCGGGCAGCTCCCTTCCTATGGAATAGCCTGTCTACCGCCATCACACTCTACCCTAGTCTTCAATCGTTTAAGAAGTGCCTTAAAACCCATCTCTTGAGGAAAGCTTATGCCCCCACATACTCTTGCTCTCTCCTAAAGGGCAGCACTCTGCTCTCCTCCAGCTCTGCTTCACTCCCACCTTATTTGATTGCTATTTCCCCAATTCCTATAGACTGTAAGCTTGTTTGAGCAGGGCCCTCTTCAACCTGTCATTCCTGTAAGTTTTTTGTAATTGTCCTATTTATAGTTAAATCCCCTCTCTCATAATACTGAAGAGCGCTACAGAATCTGAAGTGGCAATAATAATAATAATAAATCTTAAAATGATTATACTACACTCCTTGTCACGGTTTATATTTATTACCTTTTCTTCGTACAGAAACAGATTAAATAAATTTATTTTATTTTTTTAATGACAGAGCCACTTTAAGAAGAACTTGTTTGTTATCCCTCTACCCACCATATAAATCAGAGATTCTTAAGACTCCCCACACAAAGTGCCTGATTTGGGTGTGGGATGCTGGCCAACTGGTGGATTTCTACAATTTTTACAAAATTTCCAAGTGCCAACGCCCCACACATTATTCTTTAATGCCACCGTAGATGCCTGAACACGTCACCAGTGTAGCAACGGTTAATGAAATGCTGCTTTTAAACTGCACTGTGGTGTACATGGAACACTTTAAAAGTTAAATCACCAGGGCTAAATTTTCACTCCCCAACCTCTGCTTCTAGTGAAATTTACTAGAAAACGCTACAATACAACCACATACAGCTTTAATCCACTTTAATGTCCGAGAACTGCTCAGCAAAACCGAAGAAGCAAAGTAAATTTTTTTTGTATTTAAATATCTTTAGATAGTATATTATATAGTATATTATAACAGAGATGTTATTTCATGTCTGCTGTATTGTTTATGGTGCCAGGCACCATCCCATGGTAAAACACACACAGGTGAGGAAATGTATAAAAAACAAACACTCTCCTTGGCCAGGGGACTAAAGCGGTAGCCCGATCTATTTGTCCATCATGGCAATCTACATGTGCTGTTCATTATAGATTGGAGTTCATGCTAGAGCATTGGGCATACAGTTTTAATCAAAATTATCAACCCCCATAAAAAAAAAATTTAAAATAAAAAAAAAAAACAATTGAATAAACCAGTGTTTCCCCCTCTGTTAGAGTTTGTTCCGAATGACTAGTGCGTGTGTAATATGTGCCGTATTTGGTATTTGTATTAGAAAGCCCTGAAGAACAAATGCAAATATATCAGTATGTGCAGTGTTTTAAGCAGCAGAAACGTTGTCCATAAAGACTCCAAATCACCATGATCATAATTAAAAAAAAAAAAAAAGCAGAAGTGATCAGGGTTAAAGACTTCACAAATGACATCGAAAAGTTTAAAAAAATAAAAAATAAAAATAAAAAAAAAAGGCCAGGGCAAGCACTGCAAATGAAGAAAAGAAATCGCAATATCGTTTAACTTCTAGTCTTCTCTGAATGCTTTCTCGATGCTGACTGCCCAGTGCCAATGTTAAACTTACGACGGTGATTGTCAGGGAGCTAAGATGGATATAGATGTGTGGATTTCTATATTAAATGTTATGTTTTCACACATCACAAGTAAATATTTATTAAATATAGGGTAAGTAACAATTAACAAATGTTAACAATCCAGAGAATGGACAGTTCCCCTTTAATGTTCATCCAGGGTTCTTGACATTTTTACCCAAACAGATTATGCTAATTGTATACGCCTACCCGGTCAGGAATAAAACATGCAATTTCAAGATGGGCTATAGAGAATATAGCTGGTGTGTTTATCAACCGTGCGCCTTCACTTACAAAGTTTGCTTCCTGATGATCATTTGAATGCATTATACATTTATAGTTCCCGCAGTTGCTTGCATACAAACTAAGCACGGATATCTGATCAAAATACGAAGTGGTTATACCTTGTTTAGGAGCCTATGTGGTGTGAACACCGTTAAGGTAATTGCTATTACAAGTGTTCATGCTACAGAGGACTGGCGTGATTTCAGACGTAATTAAAAGTACTGTAACAAGGCAAGTACTAAACACATCTCAAAGAAAGGGTTTGTGTTTAATGAACGCAACGCCCAGGGTGTTTTAATCCTTAGTAAATATTTGCATGCCTCCAGATATATGTCTTAAAGATTAAAGGTTACACACCCCTCTACACGCTAAAACACCATCTTGCCATACAAAGCAATAAACAGAGTGACAGCATTGGAGGTTTACCAAATATTTTTTTCTCTCCATGTAAGGTATTGGCACAAAAAAAAAAAAAAAAAGTAATATACATTTCAGTATTTGGCCATTATCATTCCACATTCATATTTCACATATAAATGTAGAAGAGGTACAGCCACCAAAGTTTCCTTGATGTCTTGCCAGCATTTCAATTATTATTATTATTATTATTATTATAAGTATTTATATAGTGCCAATTTATTCCACAGCAATTTACAATATTATATAAAGAGGGAAATTTTACAATAAATGAGATAATTACAAAATGTTACAGGAGCAATAGTTTGATGAGGACCCTGCTCAAAACAAGCCTTCAATCACATTTTATAATAAAGTACAGAACTACATGTCCCATAAAGCCTTGCTGAACACAAATAAAGTGGTGGCTTGTCTGACAAGTGTTGATACTTTCAATCGTCTGGACAAAGATGAAACAAACGCTAAAGGGTGAGTATTTTTAGAGGCTTTCATTTTGAATGCATTACTTATATAATATACTTGTGCACAAAGGAAAAATAATGGTTTTGTACAAATTATTCATTTTTGTTTTGTTTGTATAACAATTGTGAGGTACTCCACTACATACAAATTTTTTATTAATGAAATTCCCCATTAACCATTTGAGTGCCAAAATTATTGCTCCTGCTGTTCTCAACCCCCACAAATAAGGTGTAAGCAAAATATCTGATGTGCTGGGCACTTTTCTCCAACCCCCAAGGGTTTCCCTTATCACCATTACCAGTGGACTGTGGGTGAAGGTTTAAAGTTTGTTCTAACCGCCAGTACGGTCGTCAACTGGGACATGGGAGAACAGATAGAATTAGTGAGGATCTGTTTAATGAGCTTCTTGTGATTAGCTTAAATAATGAAACTCAATGCTGCCTTACCTCATCCCTTCCCTTGGAAAGTAGGAAACTAGAGAACAATCAAATGAAATGCATTCTCAGCAGCAGCACACATTTTTAAAAAAGGTTTGACAAAAACTGCACCCAAGACGGCGGATAAAATAACCTACCACAGAGGAAGATGCTCAAAATGAAACTTTAAGGCACTGTCAGACAGGTACGGCTGTACACTGTACATATTCTATTCAGGGCTAATTAATCATCTGCCCTTCAGAGAATCCAAATTGGAGCTTGAACGTATCATCTCATAGATGGTCTAGAGGTTATATTTAACGCTGAAATCTTTCCATGTCATGAGCTGCAGTTGTTCATCTAGGTCATGCCAGTGCGATACATATTATACCATGCTTAGAAAATATCGGAACATTTGATGTATATAGAAGCAGGTTATAATTGTTACAGTTGTCATCAGAAACTAAAATTAAAGTGTTAACAGGCAGAATCACAGGTCATGCGCCATCTCAGAAATCTTTATATTGGCTCGACTGCACGTACGGCCGTAGGAGCACCTCTGGCTACAGGTTACAGCATATTCCGCCAATACTGAACGTGCAGATTTCTATTTTGACCCAAACAATATATGTATAAAACTCCATTTGACAAGGCAATCTCTGTATTACTTTCTGCAATGGGCAGTTTGAGTGACAAGGGCACATAATCTCACTGCTAAACCAGAACATATGTCCAAGCCAATATTAGTGGGAATTACAGTCAATGCATGATGTGTGATCTCATCCATTGATTTTTTACTGTAATGCATGTTTTGACTGATAACATTCAATGCAAAGGGCCTATAATCTGAAGCAGCCAGAAAGATTAGAGTGAATTATACTTCCACTGCTGCTTCCGTTAAAGGGACACTGTAGGCACCCAGACCACTTCTACCCATTGGAGTGGTCTGGGTGCCAACTCCCAACTACCCTTAACCCTGTATGTGTAATTATTGCAGTTTTTTTTATAAACTGCAATAATTACCTTGCAGGGTTAACTCCTCCTCTAGTGGCTGTCTACAAGACAGCCACTAGAGGGCACTTCTGTGTCTATAGCACAGGTTTTCTATGCTAGAGCGGCGGACGTCCTCACGCTGTGCGAAGACCTCCAGCGTCGCTCAATTCCCCATAGGAAAGCATTGAAAACATTTTCAATGCTTTCCTATGGAGAGCTCTAATGCGCGTGTGTGGCATTGCCGCGCATGCGCATTAGGTCTCCTCAGCCGGCGGGCGGGATCAGTCTCGCCCACTGGTTGACGTAAGGAAGAGGAGGCGCGGCAGCAAGCAGAAACCACCGCCGAGGGACATCGACAGGGGTCTCAGGTAAGTGACTGAAGGAGTTTCCATTTCTTCAGCAACCGGGGATGGGGGGTGGGAGGGAGAGGGGACCTGCAGTGCCAGGAAAACTGATTGTATTCCTGGCACTGGAGTGTCCCTTTAATTATTATATCAATATATATATATATATTAATAGACACAAATACATCATAACGTCACACACAATCTAACAAAATGGACGCTTTCTGGGATGTATTTGGGTACTTTCCGTTCAGATGTATTTTCAACAAAGACAGATCTGTAATGGGAATCTGTAGCTGCATCAGTATTGTTACAGAGAAAATGGAGTTGGAACAACTGCACATTTATTGTATGAAAGGAAGGAGCGTTACTTGAATATGCAATAGAAAGCAGCCAGATTTCAATTAAGCATTTGGAAACCTAGTTGACAAAATTAGATCATGGAATGAGGCCAGGGCTTTGGATAGCTGTGCTCTTCTCTTCAAGATACCGATCACCTTGCTGCATTTAAACTAAGAGTTTTTTTTATTCACTAAACTCTGAACTGTGACACATTGAAATAGAGAAGACGAAAAAAAAAAAACCATTTAGGCAAAAACAACAGATTTGGAAACATTAAACAACTAAGATCTAATCACTGCTATTTTAGCCACTATTATATTCCAAATACAATTTCCCAGCTGACAATATGGCTTCTTGCCCTGCTGTCGGCAAGTGGCAAAGCTGATCATGGGGAGGACCGGACTGGGGCAGGAAGCACGTGGTTTGCACCTCCGGTGGTTACAGACCACAGTAATAGCTTCCTTGCAGGCCTGCCACTCACTAGAGAGGTTGGGCGCAGTCGCCGGGATTCCCAGCATGCATGTTGACCTGGTAGGCGCCAGACAGTGAATGAGTAACTACTATGGCAGAGATCACCAGTAATCAAAGTACACCTCTGTCCGCAGAAAGTAAAGGGGCGAGGCACACACATCAAACCCAGCCATTAAACATCCACCTTGCACATGAATCATTAAACACAATCTGCACAGACAAAACACACGCACCACATGGAGGACAGAAGAAATTACTTCAGGTGGCAGAGGATGAGACAGACACTCAGGGTTATTCAGGAAACTCAGTTTTTCCATTCAGGTTTAATGTGTGAAAAATGTGTGACTAAAGCTGGAGAGTTTTACCATTTAGATCTAAATCCCCAAAATGTGCCCAATCTAAACTTGTGTGTGTGTGTGTTAGAACATGTAGATTGTCATAATGGACAAGTATATGAGACTAGTGCTTTTGTCCCTTGGGCAAGTAGATTTTCTTTTTATATTTCAAAACCTCTGTTTAGTACCATGACGTTACCTTTTCTGAGCAAAGCTATGGCAGCATAAACAAAGGGACTTGTCTAAATGTCAGAGAAATGAGCAGTGAGACTGCATGGGGCATGAGCTATACACCAAAACTGCTTCATTAGAATGTCCTTTTTAATCAGGCAATATAGGAGATATCATAGCCATTCCTAGTGTACTACTGCATTGTGCCTGCATGTACAGCTTCTCATATTATTACAACACAATGTTGCATTTGTGTTCACTGCCTCAATACTTCCTGACGGAATTGAGAGGCAATGGTGTAGTGGCACAATAAAGAAAAGGTGTGTTGGAAAACAAATATGTATTTCAAATATTTGCATCATGTGTTTTGTTTAGTTTGTTGTTATTAATATTATTATTAATGGATTTAATTCTTGGTTAGTTTGAATTGTATTTTATTATAGTTACTTTTGTAATTTGCACCCTAGGTTCCCTTTAAAGCCAAACTTGAAGGTACCTTTGTAACAGACCCCATTTTTTGGGACTTTTACAAACAGTAAAATAGTCAATAACTGCATGTGGTCTTTGAAAGGCAAAATTTGCCATAATATGTATTCATTAATCTAACACTGTGCCTCACTGAGCAATGTGTTTGAGAGAGCAGGATACTTAGCATTAACATCTTCTCGTTCCACAAAATAAAGGTCAAAGTAGTCTTAATCTCTTAACTGCATCCATAGAATACACATGCAATTATTACTTTGTATAATTCCAATGTATTCTGTAGAGGAAAAAAAAAAAAGGAAAATAAAAAAAAAATAGTTCCTATAGTTCTCAACCTACCTTACAACTCAACATTTCTGTGACTCTGTCCTTGGGTTCCTGACCAGCTTTGTGTCTGACGAGAACGTAGACTGCCTTGACACCAGGGCATGATCGCAAGAGTTTCTCGAGAAGTACTTTTCCCATGAAGCCCGTAGCTCCTGTGATGAGAACATTCTTTCCCTTGTAGAAGTCTGGAATGGATATCATGGTAAACGTAGATCTGCACAAGAAAAGAAAAACAACATTAACTAACAAGACTATATTTTAAACATACAGTATTTGGCCACTATTTGAAGATATGGAGACAGTCAAAAATAGTCAGTAGACAAAGTTTTAATTAGAATAAAGTAAAATATGAGCAGTCCATGGATTAAAGGTATTCTGTGATTTGATCAGTATTTCAATACTACCCTGAACAAGACTAGTTTTTCACAACAATGTGCGTGGGCACATTTTTTAACTTTCAGAGGATAGCAGTGGATCTCTCTCAAGCTTTCATTGTTGAACTTTCCTTACCATCTTTTGGAAAGTTATTCTATGGGTCTACAACAATTTCTGTTAGGCAACATTAATTTACCTTCCGACATCTTATTCATCCCAGAAAGAAGCATCTGCTAAATATGATGCACAAGAAAGCACGCAGTTTTTTTAAAGACAAGCAGACTAAGGACATGGATTACTGAAACTATGTCCTGTGGTCCGATGAGACCAAGATAAACTTATTTGGTTCAGATGGTGTCAAGCATGTGTGGCGGCAACAAGGTGAGGAGTACAAAGACAAGTGTGTCTTGCCTACAGTCAAGCATGGTGGTGGGAGTTTCATGGTTTGGGCCTGTATGAGTGCTGCCGGCACTGGGGAGCTACAGTTCATGGAGGAAACCATGAAAGTCAACATATACGGTGACATACTGAAGCAGAGCATGATACCCTCTGTTCAGAGACTGAGCCGCAGGGCAGTATTCCAACATGGTAACCCCAAATACACCTCCAAGACTACCACTGCCTTGCTAAAGAAGCTGTTGGAAAAGGTGATGGACTGACCAAGCATGTCTCCAGACCTAAACCTTATTGAGCTTATGTGGGGCATCCTCAAACAGAAGGTGGGGGAGCGCAAGGTCTCTAGCATCCACCAGCTCTGTGATGTCGTCATGGGGGAATGGAAGAGGACTCCAGTGACAACCTGTGAAGCTCTGGTCAACTCCATGCCCATGAGGGTTAAGGCAGTGCTGGAAAATAATGATGGCCACACAAAATATTGGCATTTTGGGCCCAATTTGGACATTTCCACTTAGGGGTATACTCACTTTTCTTGCCAATGGTTTAGAAATCAATGGCTGTGTGTGGAGTTATTTTGAGGGGACAGCAAATTTACACTGTTATACAGGCTGTACACTGACTACTTTACATTGTAGCAGAGTGTCATTTATTCAGTGTTGTCACATGAAAAGATATAAAATATTTACAAAAATGATAGGGGTCTACTCACTTTTGTGAGATACTGTGTGTGTGTATACACACACATACATACATACATACATACATACATACACACACTAGAAATTTCTAGATACATTTTAGCTCTCTGAAGGAATACATCCATTAAGGAAAAAATAAAAAATTCGGGAGCAAGCATTGCAACTGAAGAACAATAGCTACTACCTTTCTAGGGACAGAACTATTTAAATTTACAGCAGGGGTGGCCAAGAGAAAAAAAATAAAGTTATTAAAGAACTAAAACTCCTGCTATGCCATGCTAGTCATGTGCCAGTTAATTGACAACTATGGATACAAGGAACCGGTCACTGGCTTCCTGAATATTCCAATCACTTGAGGGTTAACATGAACCCTATATTTTTAAATAATGCATCTAAAAATAAAAATGGGAAACCAACTGACAGCTGCAGAGCAAAACTCCATTCATGAAACTGTGTTGTGTTCAGATAGCACGTTATCAGCTTATGGAGCCATTCCATTCTTCTTACGTGGGGAGTCTAACTGCGTCTGGGAAACAAAATGCTTATTCCATAAACTACTTATGAAAAAAAAAAAAAAAAAAAATTAGTTTTATGGGATAAGAGGAGACCCACAGACAAGGATGAAATGCTCCGGCTTCTATCTGGACTGAGAGAGAGGTTTGTAAATCACCTCTCTCAATTGTACAGACCTTTGAAGGCAATAATATTTGTATTCCAATATGAGGGATTACAAGGTGTTTTTATCCCATTTTGAGAAAGCCACATCGGCGGTTTGGATGTTTATTTACTTTTACTACTGAATAAAGGAATTCTTTTGGACAAATAGACCTGGTTTGTGCCAAATTCCTTTAAATTTTATTTACCATTTAAAAATATATTTGATAATATATTTCCTTTGCTACTTGGCTTTTTACTACTAATCAAAAGAAATCCGAGGTAGGGATACCACCAGAGCTGATCCCATCGAGCAGTAAGCCTGCCCTACGCTGTTACTCCAAGTAAATCCAAGGTTGGGATCATACTACCAACGCTATATCAATAGAGCAGTGTTTCTGCTCTACACTTATGAGTATTACTCTTATCACTCTTTTATACTCTATTTTATCACAATTGAGAGCACTATTGTTGCCTTTTATCTTCCCTTTGGAGCTTTAGATTACCAGACGGTGCTGACGGATACATCTTCAAACATCCCATAAGCGGGGATTATACCGCTGTATGCTCTTCACACCAGAGCTGGCCATAGCTCTTTTAAATGTGAGTTCTCTACCTCTTGTTACTTACTGCACTATTGGTTGCTTTGTGCCTCTTCTCTGTTTCATATATACAAACTAACACCCTGAGACGTATCCACTCCCATTGAAGAGAATACGTCTTATCAAGTATCCCTGATTATCTACTGCTACTCTAGCGAGACCTCCTACCCTCTCTAAGACTATTTTGGCGCAGCCCTACTCCATCTTTTTAGAATTGTCTGCATTATCTACATAATGTATTAAGAAAGAGAGGGACTACTTTTGACAACAGATTCCATTTAACTGTATTTCTTAAAATAAAGTCTGTATCAGCGCTTAGTTAATATACCCTTATTTTAAAACAGGGGTCAACAAAGAAAATTAATAAGTAAAGAGTTCCAATTTCAGTCTTTGTGTGGGTATTTTCAAATGTCCTCAGGGATTGGTAACTGCAACAATAACCAATACAACAACAAATACTGCTGTAGTTACCGCAAATTCAAAAATCCCGCCAAAACATGATCCACGCGTTTCGCCCGTTAGATCGGGCACGATCAAGATCTTCAGAAAGCCCGATCTAACGGGCGAAACACGTGGATCATGTTTTGGCGGGATTTTTGAATTTGCGGTAATTTCAGCAGTATTTGCTAGCCGGCGTTCCTGTGAAGATCGATCTGAGTGCACAAGATCGGTTTGGAAGTTTACATCCACGGAGCGGAGTTCTTCTTAACCCCTTAAGGACCAAACTTCTGGAATAAAAGGGAATCATGACATGTCACACATGTCATGTGTCCTTAAGGGGTTAAAGGGGATTTTCGTATGGGAAATAAAACTAACAAAATTACGCTATGTCAGTATCTTTTCTATTTAAGGTTGGATACTTGTAAAGACACAGATTTCCAGTATTGGTTATTGTTGCAGTTACCAATCCCTGAGGACATTTGAAAATACCCACACAGACTGAAATTGGAACTCTTTACTTATTAATTTTCTTTGTTGACCCCTAGGTTTTAAAATAGGGGTATATTAACTAAGCGCTGATACAGACTTTATTTTATGTCTTATGTGACGTTTTAAAACTTGTGAAGGTTTTTAATTGTGTCTAGCGGCTCTTAACATTAAACTTTTCTTGTGAATAATTGAATTGAAGCATTGGCTTAGAAATTCCACTGTGTGATTTATATCTATTTGCACTCTCTATAACTTCTGTAATTATAACTGTATTTCATACCTGGCTAACCCACTGACAAACAAATACAATGCACTGCAACATTAAAGGACCACTATAGTGCCAGGAAAACTATAGTGCCCTGAGGGTGCCCCCACCCTCAGGGACCCCCTCCCGCCCGGCTCTGGAAAGGGGAAAAGGGGTAAAACTTACCTTTTTCCAGCGCTGGGCGGGGAGCTCTCCTCCTCTCTGCCTCCGATCCGCCCCGTCGGCTGAATGCGCACACGCGGCAAGAGCTGCGTGTGCATTCAGCTGGTCGCATAGGAAAGCATTCTCAATGCTTTCCTATGGACGCTGGCGTGCTCTGACTGTGATTTTCACAGTGAGAAGCACGCAAGCGCCTCTAGCGGGGGAAGGCTTAACCCATTGATAAACATAGCAGTTTCTCTGAAACTGCTATGTTTATAAAACAATGGGTTAACCCTAGCTGGACCTGGCACCCAGACCACTTCATTAAGCTGAAGTGGTCTGGGTGCCTAGAGTGGTTCTTTAAAGAAACGCTACAGGGTTAGGAACACAAACATGTATTCAGGACCCTATTGTGTTAAAACACCCATAGGAAAGCATTGGATTGGCGGAGCATGTCAAGGAGGCAGAGCCAACACAAGCCAAACAGTCCTGGCCAATCAGCAGAGATGCTTTGAATCAATAACTCTCTGAGGAAAGTTCAGTGTCTCCTGAAAGCATGTTTGGAAGTGTGGCCTTGGGCAGACAATCATTCAGGTAACTATATCAAGCAAACATTACTGTGCAAATTATTTTTCTAATACTGTACTATATCACCAGGGTTGTGTGTAAGGTCCATTAAAATGAAGAAGAAAGACAAGTTACTAATTATCGCTGAGCACATTGTAAATGCATATTATCTTCGTATCTTCTACATAAAAGGTTAAGAAGGTCTCTCCACACATGAAACTGTGCAATGGGGAAAGGATTTACACATGTAAAGCAGACGAGCTAGAAGACTTGAGATTTTGTTACACAAAGGTATGTGCAAGTTTCCCCTCCGATACACTAGTTCCTCTTTTATTACCTAAGAACATGTATTGCTTTTCAAATATTGGTAATTGTAACCACACCTAAAAAAGGAATACCAAGCACCAAAACAACTTGAGCTTAAAGGACCACTATAGTGCCAGGAAAACATACTCGTTTTCCTGACACTATAGTGCCCTGAGGGTGCCCCCACCCTCAGGGTCCCCGTCCCGCCCGGCTCTGGAAAGGGGAAAGGGTTAACCTTACCTTTTTCCAGCGCTGGGCGGAGAGCTCTGCTTCTCTCCTCCTCCATTCCTCCTCCTGGGCTGAATGCGCACGCGCGGCAAGAGCTGTGCGCGCATTCAGCCCGTCGCATAGGAAAGCATTTACAATGCTTTCCTATGGACGCTTGCGTGCTCTCACTGTGAAAATCACAGTGAGAAGCACGCAAGCGCCTCTAGTGGCTGTCAATGAGACAGCCACTAGAGGATTAGGGGGAAGGCTTAACCCATTGATAAACATAGCAGTTTCTCTGAAACTGCTATGTTTATAACAAAATGGGTTAACCCTAGAAGGACCTGGCACCCAGACCACTTCATTAAGCTGAAGTGGTCTGGGTGCCTAGAGTGGTCCTTTAACCCCTTCAGGATGAGTGACTGACGAGGTGCGTCACTCAGGGGAAACCCATAATGACGAGTGACGGACCTCGTCCGTCGCGCGGTAAAATTAACCCCGGATCGCCGCTATAGCGGTGATTGCGGGGTTAATGGTGCTCCGGTCTGCCTCTGTATTAGAGGCAGACCGGGAGCACCCGATAAATCTGCCCCGCACATGTGCTCGCTCTGACCACATGTCAGAGCGAGCACATGTGCTTAGTATACTTACCTTCCGCCTCCCTGCACTTCCTGGTTCTGTGTGAAGTGCAGGGAGCCGGAACAGTGATGATCCTGCCCCCTGTAGGAAAAAAAAAAAAAAAAATTCATTTAAAATCCCACCCCCCTTTACCCATTTTAATAAAAAATTAACCCATTCCCTGCCAATTGATCACTGACTACAGTGATCATTTGGCAGGGATTACATTTTACTATGATCTGATTTTTTTTATTTTTTTTTACCCCTGAGGGTTAATTCTTTTTTTTTTTTAACCCTCAGGGATTAAAATTTATTTCATTAATTAATTTAAATATTTTATAACTATATATTTTGCTAGCTGGGGTGGTGGGAGTTATGGGAAAGGGGGGAATTTACTGTTAGTGCTGCTTACTGCTAGTTAGGGGTTAACGGTAAAAAAAAAAAAAGCTTAGAAAAATGTTAAATCTGTAAAAAAGTTTTAAGAAAGTTTAAAAAAATAAACAAAACAAAAGTTTAAAAACTAGTTTTTAAAAGTAAAAAAAAATACATTTAAAAACGCTCATTACCACTACACCAGGAACAAACTAGAGAAAAAATTATCCCACGCCAATGTTCAAAATTTGCCTTTTGAATTACCCCAGGGTGTATTCTTTAATAAATAGTATGTGTTTGTGGGGAAGTTTCAATAACCAACCATCTAAACTACTCCAAATTGGAACATGGACACAGCATAAAACTTCAAAGTTAGAAAAAAAATGAATGGCTGCGTCTCAAATGCGCCCCTTCAACATCCATATATACCTGGCAAAGGTACATACGGGGGTATTGCTGTACTCAGCCGACATAGCTGAGCAACATATGAAGTATTCTACAGTCGTAGCACACATAAGGTTTGCAAAATATACTGTGCAAACTCACTTTGTATGTCAAAAAAGGCAGAAAAAAAACGCTTATTACCACTACACCTGGTACAAGCTAGCGGAAAAATTATCCCACGCTAAGGTTCAAAATATACCTTTTGAAATACCCTGGGGTAGGGATCGACCGATTATCGGTCTGGCCGATATTATCGGCCGATATTTGGTATTTTCGGCAATATCGGTATCGGCCAATTCAGATACCGATATTGCCGATAATATATAACAGGATCGCCGGGCCCATTACAAGCCCGGCGGTCCTGTGGGGGCCAGCCGCAAACGCTGACTTACCTTGCATGCAGCTCCCTGTGTAAATCTCGCGAGACCCGCGGCCGCAGAGCGTTGCCACGGGTTACCATGGCAACGCTCCGCGCGGCACTAAGAGCCGCGAGATTTACACAGGGAGCTGTAGGAGCTGCTTGCAAGGTAAGTCAGCGCTTGCTGCTGCTGAGCCACCACTGTACTTAACAAGCCACTGGACCACCAGGGGATACTATATCCCCCTCCCTGGTAAGAAGCAGGGAGGGGGGACTAAACAAAAAAAAAAAAAAACATTTAAATATTAAAAAAAATATTAAAATAAAAAATTACACAAATTACATCACTACACACACACACACTGCACAAACACACACTGGGGGGAGACTAAACAAAAAAAAAACATTTAAATATTATAAAAAATATTAAAATAAAAAATTACACAAATTACATCACTGCACACATACTGCATTACATACACACACACTGCATTACATACACACTACACAGGCACACACACTGCATTACATACACACACTACACACACACCACAAACACACTGCACACATACTGCATTACAGACACACACTGCACACACTACACTGCATTACATACACACACTGCATTACATACACAGTACACATACTGCATTACATACACACTACACAGACACACACACTGCATTACATACACACTACACAAACACACACTACACAAACACACAAAAACACACTGCATTATACACACACTACATAAACACACTGCATTATATACACACTACATTATATACACACACTCTGCATCCACTACACACACACACACACTACACAAACAAACACAGTTCCCCTGTCTAAACACACTTCATCCACTACATGTGGCATGTATATTTTGTGCATTTACCTTTCGAATTAGTTTATTTATTCAAAATAGTAAATGTACAGAATATCGGCAAGATATCGGCTATCGGCCTGAAAGTTCGCAGATTATCGGTATCGGTATCGGCTCTAAAAAATCAATATCGGTCGATCCCTACCCTGGGGTGTCTACTTTAAGAAATGGTAGGCCTTTGTGGGGTAGTTTGAATTTAAAACCTGCGAAGATGCTTGGAAATTGCACATAGCGTCAAAATTTGGTAAAAGCTGATATGGCTTGGTCTCCTATATGGCACTGTAGCTTCACGAAATTGTGCCAAAGACATTCATTGGGGGTGTCTTTTTACTCAGAAGACTTAGCTGAGCATAATTTGGGGGGTTTGAACTTAGTGGCACATATGAAATATACAAAATGCAATCCGTATGTAAAAAATGCACAAAATTATTTTTTACCACATACTTTGTTAAGGCACAATATGCACCTTATGAGAGTGGAGTGTCTACTTTTACAAATGGTAGGCATTTGTGGGTTTTTTTGAACAGTCAAACTACTATAATACCCCAAATGGAAGCATAGGCTCATTAAATTCTACTGTGAATACTGAAAAGGACAGGTCTCCTATATGGCACTGTAGCTTCACGAAATAGTGCCATAGACATACAATGGGGGTGTCATTTTACTCAGCAGATGTAACTGAACACAAAATAAAACTTTGTACAGGAATAGCACACACCAACTTTACAAAATACACATGAGAATTTCTTTGTTATAAGTTTGTGTGCCAAAAACCAAAAGAAACACAATTTTACTCCAATATTTAGCAGAGGTTGGCGGTGAAATGGCTACGTAGAAAGTGTCAAAACAACCTTAGGTAAATAGCCTGTGATGTCTACTTTATATAAATATATACTTTTGTGTGGCAATTTTGTTTTCTTTTATGGCTATTAAGCTTACAAGACAAACATACCAAATTCCAAATTCACATTAAAAGTTTAGTTTACTCCTTGTGCTTTGTGACCTGTAACTACCAAAAAAATAAAATAAAATCCCAGACACATTATATATTCTGTAAATCAGAACAACTAAATGAATTTATTTTTAATTACTTTCCTTAACCTGCACTAATTGTGCACACATTATTGCAAAAACTGTAAAAAAATAAAATAAAATTAGTTTTTTGCATTTTTCTGTAAAATATAATATATATATATTACACATTACATCAAATGAAAGCCCTTTCTGTCCTTTAAAAAAAAACGGTATATAATATGTGTCGGTGCAATAAATTTGTAAAATGCAAATTGCAGTTGAACGCAAACAGCAAAAAATGCTGTTGTCATTAAGTGAAAGACAAGCTTTTGAAGCTCTCTCCTGAATGGGTTAATGAACCTGTTTTAGTGTATACAAAATGATCTGCCATTAAAAGTGACACTATAGTCACCAGAGGCACTTCAGTTTAATGTGGTTTTTCTGGTGTCTATAGCCTGTCCCTGCAGGCTTTTCAATGTAAATGCTGCCTTTTAGAGAAAATGCAGTGTTTACATCGGTGCCTAGTAGAACCTCTAGTGGCAGGCATACAGACGCCCACTAGAGGTGTATCAGTGCTGCAGTGTGCATTGAGGCGCTGAATGCTCCCCAGAAAGATGCCTTGATTTAATGTATCTCAATAAGGAAATGCTGATTGGCTTAGATTCTATACTGGAGTCCTTGGACGCTGCTAATTACTTTAATTAATCGAGGGGGGTTTTGATGTCACCCTTAATTGACATGTAAGCTGTATACACCTAGGTATACCAGGTGAGCAAGTTTGGGTTGTTTTAACTTGCTAATCCTTTGTATTCTGCACCATTTGTTTGCTTGTTCTTGCTCTCTTTCAAACCACGAAGAAAACACATAGAATGTACCACCCTTACAGGTACACAAACACTTCATATTAGAGCCAACACTTCATGAGCTGATGAATGTGAGTGTGCACACTACAACTTGAATGTTTAAATCATGTTAAGAAATAATGCACTATTATGCTTGCTTACTTTTTTGAGTTTGATTTGACATTCATCAACTATTAGTGTGGTTGTATCTGTTATAAAGGTCATGTAAACGCTTCATTTTGATTTGTAGAATTAAAACTACAAAATTTATCTGCAGCGTTATTGGCAACAGAGTATAAATGGTGGCACTGTGTCCCATTCATGCTGCCAGCCATTGTCGTCCCCTCCAGTAACAGGGAGAAGGGTCACTGGCGTCTTGGAAGCCGTATATGTCACGACTGAGGGTGCACATTGGAAATGGGCTTGATCGACCCTATAGCCTCAGCACAGGCGTTCCTCACTGGTTCGACTTTGTTAATTAGAAATATGTGCACATATTTGGAATTAGCTCGCTGTAATAGTATACAGGATTAAGGCTTCCGACAAAACATTGCATTAATCTGATCTCTGGCTCATTAAAGTATAGCCTTTTAATTGTACCAGTCCAACCGTGTTGTCCTCCTTTTTTGTTGGATCACTGGAAGAGCATCAGGCTGCAGGGAGAACTTGACCTCCACGTGAGATTGCAGTTATATATATATTTATTATTATTTTTTTAAAGGAGGGGAGAGTGGGGGGGTTCCATACCAGCAAGGTTTACTACAATTAAAAACACGAAAAAACAAAAACAAACATTTTGGTTCGAATAACTTTTACACGGATGAATGCTATTTTTGCAAACACATTAACTTGTTTACAATCAAAGCAAAAGCACTCAATTACAAATGTATCGGGATTCACAAATCATATTTGTATTTACTTTATTCCCCCAAATTTTTGAAAGTGTACATTTACCTAAGCAACAGAAGCCTGGAACAATGGTCAGTTATCACCATACAAAAAGCATGCTAGCATTGTTTGCCATAGCTACAAGCATAACAAAAACACTTATCGCCTCATCCCATGAGTACACCATGTAAAATGCATTATATGTGCGCACTGCAAATTTTGAGCAAGGTGTAGGAACAACCATAAGGTGGCATAGCAGGCTGCCTTAGGGCGCATCGGTCTAGGAGCAATATTCGTGTGACCAGGAGGGAAGCGCACAGAGCTCCCTCTCCTGCCAGTCACTTCATGTAGCGTGGTCGCAATTCGCGGTAGAGGATGTTCGATATCCTCTACCCAATCTGACAGGAAGCGGAGAGTAACGAACAGCTCTTGCTGAAACCTAGAGCAAACAGCTGACACCCTACACTGTAGGGCTTAGCTCAAGAGCAAAGATGGCAATCAAGGAAGCCGCAAGTGGTGCTCTGTAGACTCTGGTTAAGAAGTCAATCCACGGACTCCTGGTACCATAACCACTACAGTGAGCTGAATGGAATGCCACGAGCAAGAGCTTTATTTGTGGGCTAGTCTAATCAACAGATTTGTAACGTTACTGAAGAAAGCTGAAAAGCTCTCTATAAGGTTTCAACACTTCCTGGTAGATGTGAGCGACAAGGTGGGTGGAGATGATATGTATTTTAGAATAATTCACAACAGATAAATCAGAAGAAGTGATGTTTCTGGCACCCTACACTATACTCATAAGTCACTTACATGCCATTTAAAGAGATAAATATCATATTTATAGTGTGTATAACTGCAAAGCGATCACTAAAGCTAGGAGTGTAGTGCGACAGACAATGTAATCAATAGGAAGTCATATCTATTTGAACTAGTTCAAATAAGATAAACCATCACAGCCTAATCAAAAGTAAACTTCACTATATTGATTAGGACACACATATTCCATGAAGAAGGTGCTTGGCCAGAAGTACGGCCATAAAGTACAGATAAGTAAACAGCCAATAAAGTACTTAAACTGATAAAGGCAAAATCATGGGGCAGGGCGGTTTTGCTTCAAGGAATAATTGTTGGAAGGGTATAATTGATAAAAACCAGTACCCGAAGAAAAAAAGGGGGAAAAAAAAAGTACAAAAAATAAAAGCAAACAATATCTTTATAGTTTTGTGTATTGAAGAAAAAGCAGCTATATTAATCCAGTGATGCAGATGTAAAAGACCTCTTTTGAAAGATCTTTATCAGAAATCTTGTCATCTCAAAACTTAAATAAGTTGTAAACAGATTGTATTAAAAAAATTAAAAAACCTGCACACTACAACCAAGTTTAACATTATATGTAGGTGTAACTTTTTTCCCATTTGTTTGTGTAGTCAGCAAATTGTCGGCAAGTACATTTTTTTAACTTACACATGTGCTTTCCATTTTGCCAACATGAAGTGGGCAGGTGTGAATTGCAGAGTTTTTTTCATGCAGTCTGCTACTGGAAATGTATATGGAAATAAACTACATAGTTAGAAGTAGATCCATTTACAGGAAACATAAGTATTCAATATAAAATATTTATAAAGTATTAACAGCTTTAGGAGCTCATGGGAGATGACCCCTTTCAACGGACATGCTTCTGCTAAATAAGGTTTCTTGGAGGCAGATGGGAAGTTGGGTGTGTTGTATTAGATTTTCAACTAAATAGCTCTCAGAACATGTTCTTGTAACAAAGGATATTTATCATCATCTCCTCTACCCCAGTACTCAATAGAGAGACATCTCTCCCGAGTTCCCAAACATGTTATCAGCACTCCAGGTTTTAAAATTAGCGAGCAAGAGGCATTATAAGTGGATTTTGCAGCACACAAAGAGGTCTAAGAAGGAACTCAGAAATGTGATGATTTGTTAGATTAACTCTCCAGAATGGGGGGGGGGTGGGGGGAGTGGAGGAGGGAGATAGGGTCTCTGGAAATAAGCAAATCACATCTTCATTCAAGAGAGCCTTAGGCTGGCAAAGCATCAAAGTATGCAGACATCTAGGGTGTCAAGGCAAGCCATAACTGCATAGCTTTGTAACTTTTTGCTCATTCATAGTAAGTAATGAAAGCAACAGGGTGGCCTTTGGCTAAACAAAAGTTAAGATAAGGCAATAAAATACAGATCTCTGTGCTTGAAGGATGTGTATTTACTGCTCCCTCTGGCTGTCATCCAGAAAATATTGGTATAAGGATGAATCCACGAGACAACAAAACAGGAGCCTATTAAAATAAATGTTGAGGAATTACGAAAATGATTAAAGGACCACTCTAGGCACCCAGACCACTTCAGCTTAATGAAGTGGTCTGGGTGCCAGGTCCAGCTAGGGTTAACCCATTTTTTTTTTATTTTTTTTTAGAAACATAACAGTTTCAGAGAAACTGCTATGTTTATAAATGAGTTAATCCAGCCTCTAGAGGCGTTTGCGTGCTTCTCACTGAAAACCACAGTGAGAAGACGCCAGCGTCCATAGGAAAGCATTATGAATGCTTTCCAATGAGACTGGCTGAATGCTCGCGCAGCTCCTGCCGCGCGTGCGCATTCAGCCGAAGAGGAGGAGAAGAGGAGGAAAAGAGGTGGAGTGGAGGAGGAGAGCTCCCGCCCGGCGCTGTAGAAAGGTAAGATTTTAACCCCTTCCTCTCCCCAGAGCCCGGCAGGAGGGGGTCCCTGAGGGTGGGGGCACCCTCAGGGCACTATAGTGCCAGGAAAAAAAAAAAAGAGTATGTTTTCCTGGCATTATAGTGGTCCTTTAATGAATGTTTGTTTTTTTGGGGGAGGGAGGGGAGGGTTTGCCACATCTAAACTTCTCAATATTAACACAATGTATGACAGAATGAAATTCACAAAACAAACAAAAATAGCAAAGGCCCAATATTTCAGTGAAAATTTGACCACCACATCAAACCCAAGAAACGTTTAGAAAATCATACGCAACATACAAACCACCACAAACCACTCCCAACCATTCACTGTCAAAATGGACAACCAAACCCTGAAACGCCCACTAGATGTAGCAATTGCCATTATTTTGTTGGATGTGCCACCACCCTGTAAGCGAATGACAAACGTTCTCAGACTACATATGAAGGTCAGGCCCTGCTAAATTAGTAAAGACTTCATATAGAAAAATTAAATTTTCAAACTGCGCCTGTTCGGGTCATTAATAAACAACTTAATAATCCAAAAATTAAAAACCAGTGTGGACCAGATCAAATCACCGCAGTGTTCCTAAAGCTCAGTGCGCCGACAATTGCTAAACCAGTCCCTACCCTACTCAATGAATCCCTGGTTTGCTCCTTGTACAAATTCTGGCTTAAAAATTCTCCTTGTAAGGTAACTGCAGGTATAAATACAATCCCTTAACTAGACATTACATGGGGAGCTATGCATAACTGCAGATAACCCACTCTGTTGAAAGATGAATTTTGGTTCTCCAGCTATTTAGTATATAGCCCTCTAATCCTTGTGAGAATTAGAGGACTATCTACTAAAAGGCTGCCAGATGCAGCCGCTGGAAGAATCAGAAATGTAATTCTCCAAATAAAATTCCGAATAGAAGATAATGAACGAATTTCATTCGAATTCGCCGGAGCACTGTCAATATGACTGGACATTCGGGAATGGAGAAAGGAAGCATCACAAGAATACGGAGGAGGGGGCTTATTGAAGGGAAACTTTCTGACACAAGAAATGGAGCTGACTATAGTCCCTTCTTTGTCTTCTGTTTTAAAGAAAACTGGATCAGAAATAAAGAAAAGAACAGATTCTGAGAGAGAAAACAATTGGAGAAAGGCATGTTCGGCATGACAGTGCCACTTTAGAAGAGCACTATAGGGTCAGAAACATGTATTCCTGAGACTAAAGTGTTAGTGAAATTTTACCTTTATTCCAGTCTGCCAGCACTGGCTCGGCCCAGATCTGTCTCCTTGGCTGACATCAGAAGTGATATCAGCCAATCACAAAGCTTTACCATGGGAAAGCATTGGGCTGGCTGAGATAGGCTAATTTAATAATCTCTGCCAAGAAGGTGCGATGGGACGAGCCAGGCACCACCCTGGACAATCAGCATCTCCTCATAGAGATGCATTGAAAGGCAAGTATGAGGTGACTAAGATTCCCCCTGACTGCCAAAATACTTGTACAGCATATGTGCACTGGAAAGGCACCATTCTACAAGTATCAAAACCTCTGAATAGCTCATTCTCTGAGTTTGGAGAAGCAGTTAATGATTCAGCTCTCTGCGTGCATGGTCACATCTAAACTATTCATAAAGAACAGAAATGGAACTACCAGTAATCGGACAGCATTCATTGCAAGGCTCCTGTTAACGTGGGAAAAAGTTTAATTCACATTTACTGATGAATGGAATACCTGCCAAGTATTAAACTACAGATGCAACATACCCTGAACCAGACACCTAGGGTACATATCGCACTGCCATACCAATAGAATTGGCTTATTGGTGTTAGTCAATTCCTAGCTGTTGGCTTAATGTAATGTGGGTTTTGCAGCAAACACAGGAACATCAATGATTTTTTATCTTTTAATGCATGTATATTCTAGTTTAATGCTATACCTATACATTGCATTTTGAAAAAAAATGGGGGTCCTCTTAAGCTTGGAGTTTGTCTTTAATCATTGCCTTCTCTCCAGATAGATTTGTTGGATTATTGGGATGATTCCCTCACCAGATAAATCTTAAAAGGCCATGTCCTGTCCGACAGCTGTTCGTGAAGCTAAATATAATGCTTTGGCAAAAACAGTATCCACACTGGAGGCTGTAAATGCACTGCTCAAAAAAATTCATTGGAGAAACAAAGGCGACCACACTTTGCATTTTAAAGCAAAAATATCGAGTTGATAACATAATTCAGTAAATTTGATATTTCACATACAATGCCTGGTTGATGGTTTCAAAAATCTTGCTAAAACCTGCTACACTATGGATAGACCAAATGTTACCCTTTACAAGAGGATGCAAAACTAGCTGAGAGATGTGTAATTCTCATAAAACCCTAGGGGTTCAGGTACAAATACATTCGAAGAAACAAAGCACCACAAAAGAGCGAAACTTGTCCTCTGCTTTCGATTTCCTATAATACTCTCATCTGAAAGGGCTTTAGAAGAAAGGATCCATCACTATAGTGGTTTTGCAATACGAAATAGTCAACTATATGCCGTGGGTGATGAATGGGTAGAGGAAACAGTAAATCCTTAAAAGGAACACTCCAATCCCCATATGGTTATAGCATTAAAGTGGTTATGTTGGCAGGTGTGTCCTGGAATTTGACTGTCAAACCATGCAGTTATCGTTTAACTTCTTACCTGGAATCCGCAGGGTGCTACTCCCTACCTCCCCTCAGCTGTGAGATAAAGCCAGTAGTGCTGGGAGTAGCAGGTCAGTTGACGCCAATGAGTTGGCCGCTTAGCTCAGGAGGTCAAACAGAAGCACCTACCTGAGAGCCGGTTTGGCACATGGCAGACCAGAGATAAGTCAAACCAAACCAGAGAGACCAGGAGATGGTGTTTGAAATGTTTCTGATGATGCAAGTGCAGTTTTGCATATTCAGATAAGTGGGTGTATGAAAAAGTAAGAGTTACGGATTTTGTGCATCTCTTTCCCATTTTAAAAAGGCTGCATTTCATAAAAGACAGGAAACAGACCGTTTATTCACTCACTTTCTGTGCCATTACTTGTATGTACATTCTGTTCATTGGGAACAATTTGATTCCTAGTTGCATTCTGATTGGCTAAACACTAAGAACCAAATTAAAATGCGGTATACAGTTCCTCCAGGTCAAAGGGTCCTTTTTCCTCTGCCCCTCCCCCATTACCTGAAAATACAAGGCTTCTTGAAGCAGTAAAATGCTTAAAGGACCACTATAGTGCCAGGAAAACATACTCCTTTTCCTGGCACTATAGTGCCCTGAGGGTGCCCCCACCCGGCTCTGGAAGGGGGAAAGGGTTAAAAACTTACCTTTTTCCAGCGCTGGGCGGGGAGCTCTCCTCCTCCGTTCCTCCTCCTGGGCTGAATGCGCACGCACTGCAAGAGCTGCGCGCGCATTCAGCCCGTCGCATAGGAAAGCATTTACAATGCTTTCCTATGGACGCTTGCGTACTCTCACTGTGAAAATCACAGTGAGAAGCACGCAAGCGCCTCTAGTGGCTGTCAATGAGACAGCCACTAGAGGATTAGGGGGAAGGCTTAACCCATTCAAAAACATAGCAGTTTCTCTGAAACTATGTTTATAAAAAAAAAAAAAAAATGGGTTAACCCTAGAAGGACCTGGCACCCAGACCACTTCATTAAGCTGAAGTGGTCTGGGTGCCTAGAGTGGTCCTTTAATAGGCATGCCCCGTAATGTTTACATAAATCTGTCTTAGTGTTCATTTAAAGCCATTTATGTGAAGGCATTAGTGACCTGTTAAGCTTAAGCATGGTTTAAAAATAGTGCATTTGTGCTATTCACCTAATCCCCCCAGTCTTAAAATAGCAAATATTCCAGAAAATCCACCCTCATTCCCGCTTAGGAATTAATGACTGGACAGAGGAAAAAAAAAAAAAACAAGAGATTCTCAGAACATGGAACGTTGTGCTGAACTCTGTTAACCTGTCCCAAATAATCATGCCGTAAGGGCTCTGTCCTCAGGTGGTCTGATAAATGATTTAAAAAAAACAAAAAAAACAAAAGAAGAACATCTTATAAGGGTATTAAAGCAGGTCAACAGAACACACACTAACTTTTTGAAATAAGAGTACAAAAGGATGAATCAAAAGTATTTTAATACAAAGTTTACTAGAAAACTTACGTTTACTAGAAAACAGACACAAACAGACATCTCTATCGTAAAAGTTTAATAAAACAAAATTAAAAACAAAAATAAATATATGTTTTTAAAGGAGTACTATAGGGTCAGGAACACAAATATGTATTCTGACCCTATAGTGTTAAAATCACCATCTAGCCCCCTTGTTTCCCTAAATATAGTAATATCTTACTTGTATTCAAGTCTGCAGCTTCTGCCCCTGTCTGCTGACACCATCAGAAGTGGTGGTCTGAGCCAATCACAATGCTTCCCCACAGAATTGGTGCAGGCTGTCAAGGAGGCAGATCAGATGCAGAGCCAGCACAAGTCAAAACACAAACCTGGCCATTCAGCATCTCATCATAGAGATGAATTGAATCCATACATCTCTATGAGGAATGTTCAGTGTCTCCATGCAGAGGGTGGATACACTGAATGGCAGCACTGCCCCAGTAAGCACCTCTAGCAGCAATCTGAGGAGTGGCCAGTGAAGTTATCAATAGGCTGTAATGTAAACACTACATTTTCTATGAAAATACAGTGTTTGCTGCAAAAAGCCTGAATGGAATGATTCTAGTCACTAGAACAAATGCAATAAGCTGTAGTTGTTCTGGTGACTATAGTGTCCCATTAATTTTTATTCTTACTGTGTATGCTTGGTTGTCCTGGTACAACCTGAACATACCATTAATTGAACCTGCACAGTGCCAGGGAGGCATTTCTAGGCAGATGCCCAAGTGTGCGATGATAGGGAAATAACCATGTCCTGGACAAAGAGGTGTAGCAGAGGTTTATAAATCTTATAACCAAGATTTTTAACCGTGCCTCCCACCTCCTCACCCCCCCCCCCCCCCAAAAAAAAAAAAAAAAAAAAAAAAACACATTTTAATAAACGAAAGAGTTAAAGGAACTGTATAGGTTTAAATTAAAAAAAAAAAAAAGCATATCCTTGTCTCTCCCCAGTAAACCTACTATCACTAAATGCTTTTTCCCTCCTAAATAGTGTTAAAATGAGCTCTAGAAGAACCTCTTATAATCTTTACATTGATCTAATACTCTGCTCCTCCTCTAATGACATGTTATTCCCCTCTTTGCTTTCTTCCAGCATTTCAGCTGGACTGTTCACCAATGGCCACGCTCCAGTGATTTTCTAGGTCTAGGAGAATCAGTAATGACACGCCCACAATGCCTATCTACCAATGACCATGCTCCAGTGATTCTCTATGAGAATCAGTAATGACGTCTACAATGGCTTCCCAGGAAGTACTCAACCTAATTTACACTACAAATACAGCATTCAGACACTAGAACTTACTTACCATGTCACACACATTTCCTCAAAACATTAGAAATCATATAGTGTTATATGTTGCTTATAAATATAAAGAGACAAAATCAAATACCTGCAGAGCTTTGTGTTATTTCTCGCTAGATCTCTATCTACCTTACAAGGTTAATTAAAAGGGGCTTCCAGGGAAGGGGTTAACAGTGAGTACGGAGGTTGAATGACAGGGAAGCGTTAACCGTGGGTAGTAACATTGGCTGACCGGGAACAGCAGGGATGGGTTAACAGTGGGTACGATGGTTGGCTGAACAGGAATGGCAGGGAAGGGGTTAACAGTGGGTAGGGAGTTGACTGACAGACTGGAGGAGAATTTATTACAGGGGAGGGCGAGGAGCACAAATAGGCTCTAGCCTTGCCTTTGCAGTGCAATTTTTGCTGTGACCATTCAGAAGACAACTATTTTCAGGTACATTTCTTTCAGAGACTGGGAATCAGGAACATGTTGAAATTTGAGAGGGGGTGGCTGAAGAGGCTGGATTACACTGATGAACTTAAAACAGAACATTTTACAACACTACAGGAAAACTACACAGAATAGAAAGAAAAGAAACTAACCACAGGTATTTGCGCTCATTGAGCTTATATCTTTGGGAAGATAAAAATAAAACTCAAAGTAAAATATGCATGCAATTATGCATTTTTTTCATTGGGGAGATATCTAAAATCAGCTTGCAAAACAGGTGTTTCTTGTCTGTAGTCTTTGCAAGCTCTCCCCTTCTAACCTCATCCAGACTTTCTGTAGCTGTCCAATCACAGACTTCCCAATGCAGCTCAATGAGAAGTCTTTGTAAGTCAGGTGCTCTGGGAAATCGCTGCCTCTTAAGGTCAGCTGCATTGAACCAACAAAACCAGGAAGTAACATTACCTGTTGTCTGTTTGAAAGCCAAGGGGTGTAACCAGTCTAATTTATTAAAGTGTAAATTTCTATTGAAATTGCCCTTCTTGCAAAATGAAAATAAATAGGACACACTCTTCACACAAAGCTTTTCCGCTTTCTGAGTGACCCTTTAATGAGAGACATTTTTATTTTAAAGTTCCAAATAGCAATAATTGTCAAGAAAAAAAAAAAAAACACTAGTGTCGGCACTTAGCAGATAGTCCCTTATTATACAAATGTAGGGACAAATTTTATGTTCTCAATATAATTACTATAAATTGAACATCTCAAAGTCAATGTTTAGTAGAAATATGTCCAAAAATCAATATTTGTTAAGGATCTCTCCACGTTGTTTGGGGAACTGTGATGGTTGAACAAAAAAATAGCCTTTATCCTCTGTGGCTGTATTCAGTATCGTCTGCTGTGATTTTGTATCCAACCTTAAATCAAAGAGGATACTGACATAGTGTAAAAATGTAACAATGTAATAATTGTAAAAATGTAATTGTCAACCATTTAAAAAATAAAATAAAAATTATGTAGCACAATATATTAGGGATGCACCAAAATGAAAATTCTGGGCCGAAACTGAAAATTCAGGATGCCCTTGGCCGAAAATTGATTTCCCCCCCCAAATTATTTTTAAAAAGTTTTTTTTCTAAAATTGTATTAATATTAGACTTTTTAATGAATTTAATATGAAAAACGTCCCTTCTCTTTTAGTGGTCCCCTCTGCTTAAAGTTTCTCCCCCTCCCCAGTCCCATAGTGTTCCCTGTTTCTCCCTCCCCCCTTCATATCATTACTATCTTTCATTGTGATATATAATCCATCTGAATTGTTAATGCAAGCATGTCTGTTAAACTATGCACTACAAAAAAAAAAAAAATTGGCAAATTTGACACGTTTTCAGCCAAAAGGGATAAGCCCATTTTCAGCAGAAAATTTCAGTGCATCCCTATATAATATACGCCAACAACTCAGGTATAAAAGAAAAATGTAACCACTATGCACACATACCTTTTACTCCTGTCCTCTTCCATTTCCTCCTTTCCTTACCCCACTCTCTCATCTATTTGCACTCACCTGCTCTCATCTCACTCCAATGCTAAAACGTCTCTTATTTGTTCCTTCCTTTACATTTGCAGAGTAAAATATAAATATAGATTTTATTTCAGGGATGGGGAGGGAGGGTGGTGAGGAGAGGGAGAAGGTGAATAAACCTGTCAATTCATTCTCACCTTGTCTGTGCAGACAGAACATAATACCTAATGGTAAACCCATGTTTTTTGCCCCTTGTATAAAAAAAAAAAAAACACAACAAACACACACACCATTGCTACCGAAGCAGCAGTTAACCTTCACTAACAGAAAGCCTGTAGAACAAGATTCCATTTTCTTTGAAACCAACAATTTCATTACATTCCTTAGGCCATTGTCGAGCAGCTGCCAGTATTTTCTCAGCCACGGGGAGAAGTTAGCAATGACAAGATACACCTAATATTCACCCGTCCCAAGGCAAAGGTGGGGATGTCTCTAGCACGCGACACCAAATCTAAAAATCAGTCGAACACAGAATCATAAAATCCAGTGCTTTGGACTGAGCAAAGAAAATACTATGGACTTTTCATAAGAATATATTACATTTTGTTTTCATTCATGGGTTAGATTACTTTTTACCCCATCATAAGCATCATTAACGGTATGGCAAATTGCCTGTGAACAGACTGACTAGCACAAGCCAATATATTTCCAATGGCACTCTTAAGTGATAATGAGTTTGAAACAGGCTGTCTGTAGGTGGAATTTTTTTTTTTTTTTATACAGTTCCACACTTGAAAGCAGAATTTAAATCAGAAGTATGAAAAAGAGCATTAATTCCACAGACATTGAAGAGAAAAAAAAAAAAATTATATATATATATATATATATATATATATACATACATACATACATACACACACATACACACATTTTATACAAGATGCATTTATGCTAATGTTCTATACGTTTGAAAAATTATAATTACAACAGAAGCCCACAACCCAACTCCATGCACCGTAGCCATTATAGTCTGCGCTGCTAATGATGAAAACAGACATTGCTAATTAAATTGGCTATAAGGAGAGTCACTGGGTCCTCAGGAATTCCCAGTTTCTGTCAAACAGCTAAACTGGTTTGACACAAAAACCAAGCGACAGTCCTTGCATTTTGCAAGTACAATAACCACGGCCTCTCTAACACCCAAGTATATAAACTACATAAATACATAATGTGACATAACTTAAATATACAAAAAAAAAAAAAAAATACACAACACACTCACGTGGCTACGAGCCAAAGAAGATTTAGATTTGCTTTTCAAATCAAACAAGCAGCAAGGCAGCCAAACAACACTAACCACAACTAACTGTACAGGAAGACAAATAATTTGAAGACTATTCATTACAAATAGAAGCTTACAAGGCACACCGTTTGCATAATGTTACAAGTCCAATTGATCATGGTTTTGGGCAGCAACCCAAACATTGCACAATAGATTTATACACAGCATTATTTTAAGTGAAGTGCACTTTAAAGTTATGTATTAAATGTCAGAAAACGGTTATACGAAACTTAAGACAACTTGTAAAACAAACAAGCTTTGCCTGTAGTGATCATACTTCTGCAAATTCTCTTCACATTTTCCTGGACACTGACCTATTTAAATGCTTTACAATTTGCAACCCCCCTCCAAAACAATCTTTTAGTCACAATTAACCAGATCTTGAACTACTGCCACAAATCCCACAATAGACCAACATTACTGAACAGATTCGTTCATGTTTTTCACGAATTAAGCAAGAGAAAGAAAACCACAGAAAATATTGAGAATGTAATAGATATATGAACGTACTTTCTTACAAGCACATGCAAGTGTAGAAGGAAGCACACTTACCTTAAGGGATGCTGGGGAGGGGGATTTTAGTAAACCACTGTACCTATAAGCAACAAAAAGCAGAGAAAGCAGAACAGAGGACCTACTTTTACAAACACAGGCTATGATTGCACCCTAAGTGACTCCTTAAACAAAAAAAAGATGACAAATTCCAGAGCACTGGTTAAAACAATTAAACACGTTTTAAAAAGAAAAAAAACTCACATCAAACTACATTTATTGCATAAATTGTGATGTAGTGACAGACATCCCCTTGTCACAGTTTCCTTCCTTGCACAAATGCAAAACAGTTACAGAAAAAATGATTGCTCCTACTTCTGACAAAGAAAAAAGTATTTTTATTTATTTTTTTACTTCCACCTTTTCCTTGCAAAGCTATCTAACTTGAGTAAATAGCACAACCACACCATTCAAGTCAATCTCCCCTCTCCAGCTCTTGGAGAAATCCCAAGCCACTGAAGTGGTTATGGTGCCTGCAGGCCCCCAGTGCCATCTCACAGTTTAGTGTTGCCCCCTTTTTCAACAGTAACACTGAACAAAAGTTCATGCATCCCAGCCCCTGCTCAAGGTGTAACTAAAATTATGTTATTATTATTGGTACTTTATAACTTATAATTATCAACGCGTAACAGTGGTGCGTGGCTGTGGAAGGCTGGGAGCTGTCAGCTGATGCAGAGAAATTAGTCAAGGTAGCAAAAAAATAAATAAAATAAAAAGGGGTGGGGCAGGTTATCCAGGGAATCTCAGTGTAAAAAAAAAAAAACTATAAAATTTAAAAATAAATAAAAAAAATTGATTCAGCTAGGGAAACAAGACACCATAACTACTTTGATAAAAGGGAGTGTTTTGTTTTTTTCTAAATTTTTTTTTTTTTTTTTAAACAAAACAAAAATGAGAGTGAATGTCAGTTCAGAGTGTCCACATAAAGTAAAACATCAGAATAATATTAAAGGAACACTATAGGGTCAGGAACACAAACATGTATTCCTGACCCTATAGTGGTAAAATCACCATCTAGCCCCCTTGGCCCGCCTCCTAAATATAGCAAAATCTTACATTTACTCCAGTCTGCTGCTGCTGCTGGCTCCACCCCTGATCTGCCTGCTTTGCTGACATCAGAAGTGATTCTCTCAGCAATCACAATGCTTTCACATAGGAAATCACTGGATTGGCTAAAACTGTCAAGGAGACCGATCAAGGGCAGAGCTATCACAAGTCAAACACAGCCCTGACCAAACAATCAGCATCTCCTCAGAGATGCACTGAATCACTACATCTCTATGAAGAAAGTTAAAAGATAAGCGCATAACTGCAACTGTGAAAAACATGACAAAACCATATGTGGCACAAGACCCCCGTCCCCCCAACAATAAACCTAGTGTCACTAAATGCTCCTCCCCCCCCCTTTTTAAATTAACATTTAGAAGTAAAAATGGAGTAAAAAAATAAAAATAAAAGATTTTGTAAAAATTAGCTTTAGAAGTACCTGTTTCTTTTTTTTACATGCAAATACATGCTGGAGGAGGTGTGGAGAAAGGGGATCTTTGTGTTATATGATGTGGTTGTGCCCTAAAATTAGACCTTATTGGAATTCGATACATAAATTAATTAAAACTGAATTAAATTGATAATTTGACACCACAGCTTTGTCTCTTCAAGCAAATTGCCATACATTTACTAAATTAAAATAAAATTATACTAGGCCATATTCTAATTTCCGCAATGACAATTATTACCCAACACTGGAAAGCTATTAACACCACACATAAATATGGTCATACAATATATATTTGAAAATGGACGTTGCGAACTAGCTTTCCACTTACTAACACCGAAAACTGAGATTTTGAAACAAGAGTGGCTTTTATGGGAAGAAAACATCAGAATCAATTATAATCTTATTTCGTAGTTGGTTCCTGACCGGATGATGATTGCTAATCAAGTGTATATATACACTGATAAGTTATTACTCGTATATCACTGGATGATTGTATTTATAGAGTTTATCCACTGTTTTATTATGTTATTTTCTGTAATATTATTGTATAAATGTATACATTATTTGAAAACTCTTCGATAAAGATATTTGAACACAAAGTACCCTTTTTAATCTTTACTTTGATCTAATTATCTACTCCTCCTCTGATTGCATGTTATTGCCCCCCTTTGCTTTCTCCCTACTCCCTTTATTTCAGCTGGACTGTCCTCCAATGGACACATTCCAGTGATTTTCTGTGAGAATCAGTGATGACACGGCTCACAGTGCCTGCCCACCAATGGTGGCACACCAACAATGCCCAGTGATGACACACACAATGCCTGCCCACCAATGGCCATGCTCCAGTGATTCTCTATGAGTATCAGTGATGACCAGCCTTACTGGGTGTGCCCGAGCTTCACTCCTCTAACATGCCCACAATGCCTATCCAAGCTTACTCTGAGTCCTCATCATTCAGACACTAGAACTTACAAATCACACCACATAATGTTGATTAACAGGGACTAGCAGGGAAGGGGAGGTTAACAATAGGTATAGAGGTTAGATGACAGGGACTGAAGGAGAATTTATTACAAGGAGTGAGGGAAGGAGAAAAGCACATATGGGCTCTTTCCTTGTCTCTGCGCAGTGCAGTCTGTGCTACAGAAGATATGACTTTGCATTGGCTGAAAAAGGTATGTTTCTTTCCGAGACTGGGAATCAGGAACACATTGAAATTTGAGAGGGGGGTGGCTAAGGAAGCTGGGTTACCCTGCTGAAAACAGAACGTTTTACAGCACTGCAGGAAAACTACACAGAACTTAAAGAAAATAATCTAACCACAGTTATTTTGAGCTTATTAGCTTTAATTTCAATTTAACCTGCTTAGTTGCCCTAAGTGTCTCATTAAGATTTAGAAGTGGCAAAACAAGATATATCTGCTTCTTCAATTCCTGGAAAGCAAACCTAACCTGGGATTAAAACCAAAATGAGTCATTAATCCTTTCACTTTTAACAGAATCTTAAAGGAACACTCTGGTGTTAGAAATACAAAGTTAAATTTCTTACATTGAGATGTCTGGAGAAACAATTTAGATTGGTTTTAGATTATCCTCCCCATAATAGTAGTTAAAGCCGTTTTGCTTACCTCATATCCCACATGTAGGGCATGAAAACATCTGTCTTGCAAAGAATGCAGGACTGCACCAGGAAGCTGTCTGAGTAAAAAGCCACTAGAGCTGTCCCTACAAAGTAATGTACATACTCCCTTTTCGCAGAATTGACGGTGTTTACTGTAAATTACATCACTAAAATGCATGCTTCTCTAATGCAATAGTTTATGTGTCTCGCTTTTTTTGATGGGCACTCATTTCACAGAAAAGGTGATCTATAAAATGGTTCTTACATAACATTTTTGACATGCTGAGTTATTATGGCAGTCCTTAGTGTCACGACAGTGACCAAAGTCACAACAATGACCCCTTCACACAGCGTGAAACCCACAGAAAGACGGTTACCGGACCTTAGAATGGCCGGACTAGCGTCTGAGAATAGTCAAGAGAAATAGCCAGAGGTCAAGGGAATACGGAAGACGGGCACACGATTATCCAAGCCAAGTGACGGGAAACCAGAAAACAGAATAGTCAGAGAGAGTAGCCAAGGGTCAATTACCAGGAAGGACAATAAGAAAAGATAGCACCAGGGGACTTAAACAAGAACCACACTAGGGCATCTGACAAGTGTCATGATAGCCCTTTTATAGTGTGGGTTCTTTGGCTTTAATTCCGTAGCCACGCCCCCAAAAAGTCCAGGGGAGCGTGGCCACGTTTGAATTTTGGCGCCATTTTCGGTCATAAATGTGGGCGTGTTCCGAGCGGCCAGCGTCAGAATAGCTGAGCCGCCCCCCCGGAAGGATCGGAGGAGGACCCGGCGCTGCGCGGGACCGGCGGGGAAAGGTAAGCGCTTGTTACACTTCGTAGGTTTACGATGTCTGAAGATCCAGTTTACGCCCATTCTGTATCAGTTTTATTACATTTGGGGTGGTTCATGGAGAAACCTTGCTAGCTTGAGACCAGTTATAATGACAAATTTAAGGGACACTGTAGCGGTTCTGGTGTCTGTAGCCTGTCCCGACAGTCTTGGCACTATAAACACGGCCTTTTCAGAAAAAAATGAAATGTTTGTATTACTGCCTTGTAATACCTTTAGGTGCAGTCAGACAGCCACTAGATGTGCCTTCTAGTTCAGTCTGCACAGTGTGCAGTACTTGCGTATAGCGTCTCCACAATCTGCATGGAGACATTGAACATTCCTCACAGAGATGCACTGATCCAATGCATCTCTCTGAAGAGATGCCTATTGACACACTGCAGCATTTTGCCATGCATGCGCAATAGCCTCCCAATGCTTTCATATGGGAAAGCATTGGCTTGGCTGAGATGATCAAAATGGATGAGCTCAGCCACGAATGCGGGCCAGCCGTGGCAAGACTGGATTCGTGATGGAGAAAAGGTCAGCACTATTGTATTAGGAATGCAAACATGTATTCCTAACACTATAATGTTCCCTTAAAATCAGTGAGCTTGTGTGTATTTTAAAATATTATGATGACATATTGACGATATTTTTTACATGGCATCAAATGTGAACTACATTACACAATAAGCTGTAGTTGTTCTGGTGACTATAGTGTCCCTTTAATGCCAGACAGGGTTGTCTGTCTTTAAAGCTTCATCAAGTGAAACAGTAGATCTCAGTTTGTTATATTGTCTCCAGCACAGCCCATTATGTCTGCTGCCAATGACAACATCTCAGCCTGCCTAACAGGTCCCGATGATACTGGCATGGAGAGGGTGTCAAGTGAATATAAAGCACTGACATTCCAATTCAGTCAAGAGATTTATAGGGAGACAAAATAGGCATAGGAAACTTACAGAAACAAAGTAGTCCCTGACACTTCTAAACACTGGGTGGAGCTACCGCTCTCTAAAAGTGTCAATCCCCAGCGAGAGTTGCAAGTAATTTGCTCTATGGAGGCTCCCATAATCTTATGGGATC